TTTAAATAAGTAGAAGCCTTGTATGTGAACGAGAAAGGATAATAGATGAATGAAATATAATAATGGATGAAAAATGATGATAAACGTTACAAATTGTTTTCATAAACAAAATTGCGGCCTCGCGAATAAGGAAAGCATATATATTTACCTAACGTTTACCTTTGCTATATTACCAATATTACAAAGATATTATGTTTGCTGAAAAAAATAATATATTTTGATTGCGTGATTGCTGGAGACTGTTGTGGCTTATTGCTGATGAATTCGTAAAGACAACAGATTTCATCATCGTGTCATCCTCTACTGGTGCCTAGCCATTGAGTGAATAAATGGAAACTCCCATTGTACACCATTACTGTATAGGTGGGAGTATCATACCTTCTTCTTCCATTAAAAAACCCAGCATTCTTGATCTTGAATTAGTATTCAAATTTTAGAAGCATTCATACAAATGGTATGAACATCTACAACACCTAATGAGTTCATTGTCTATAAGTAACTACAGCTTGTTGTTCTGTAATTACTGTAAAGTTAATTGGAATTACATCGACGCTACACGAGTTTTGTATTCGATTATCGCAGCAAAATTAGTAGCTATGGAAACGGGCCCATTATTACAATAACAATGGAGTTTGTTTTTCCAGCCTTGAGGCGCAATTTTGCGCCTTTGCGGGCAGGTGTGTAATTATTAAGAGGTGGTGAAATAAATGGTAAAGACGATGTTTGCTAAATGTTGGTTTTATTAAAACATGAATTTTGAAATATGAAAAATTAATATTATGTTCCGCAAAAATAAAAACTGACTTCAATTTTGGCAAAATTTTTTTGATTTAAAAACTAAAATACTTAACCGATTTTAATAAAACAGACTAATCTGTAAGTATCATACGTATACATATCTGTCACGCCTGTCTCCCATTAGGGTAGGCAGAAACAATGGAACGCCAAATGCTTCGATTCAAACAAACCTCTTTCGCTTCTTCCACATTCATCAATCTTGTCATACACGCTCGTCGGTTACGGGTACTTTTAATTTGGCCCTTCTTCAGCACGTCGCCTATTTGGTCGACATACGTCCGTCTAGGGCGGCCCCTACCGACATCTCCATTCATTCTTGCTCGATAAATCTCTTTCGTAATTCTTCTTTCATCCATCCTCTCCAAATGACCAAACCAACGCAACATTCCTTTTTCAATTTTTGTCACTACATCGTCTTTCAGTCCACACTTCTCTCTAATCACACTGTTTCTTACTCTATCTTTTAAAGTAATACCACACATACTTCTCAAAGCTCTCATCTGTACAGCATTTATCTTACTTTCATGCTTCTTCTGCCATACCCACGATTCGCTTCCATACATGAGTGTTGGTGTCAGTACTCCTTGAATTATAGCAAGGCGAGCTTTGCTCGATACATTTTTACTTGACATAATCGAGAGCAGTGCACCGTTAACACTGTTTCCCGCTTTTACTCTCCTCTCAATATCTCTGTCACACTTCCCATCCCTCGTAAACAAAGAACCTAAATATAGAAACTCACTCACTTGCTCTACTTTTTCATCTCCTATCATAATCTGGCATGCCGTTAAACTTTCATTCCTCTCAAAAACCATTACCTTCGTCTTCTTCGCATTTATTTTCATACCTTTTCTTGCATACGCTTCATTCATTATAGTCACCATTTGTTGTAATTCATACTCCGACGATGCAATAAAAAAGCATTTTTCCAATAGGTTTACAACGGACGGACTTATGAGGTAATAAACCTAAAACACAATCGTATTGGAACCTCCTTCATTTCGAAGTTGGTTGATTAAATAAAATATCTGGAAATTCCACCTCAAAATGGGAAAAGTACACCTACGTAAATTTGAAACACATTAAATTAAATACATTAAATTTGGTAGTTGGATTTTCTGTTTTAATGGAATGAATATGAGACAAAAGATAAAAGAAATGAGTGGGAGTAAGAACAGCAACTGTTAAAATTTTGTCTCTCTGTTAAAGTATCAATTAAACGTCCCTTAATTTTTGACATGTGTTGTTTTTCACGTAATACGCCTACAGACAGACATAATTCTCATAGTTGCTGTTGTATATATACATATTACATAACACTATTTAGTTCCAAATCAAGTGGTACAAGTTCTAAACAAGACAACTGATAAAAATAGATACATCTAATACATAAAAAAATCGCCCTATTCACTGTAAACATACATACAAATGTATATACTCTTAAACGTTTTTGTATCATGCGGAATTCGAAGCTGCGACTATCAGAAGGTGAGGTGTTTAAACCGGAACGGCACCAATAGCCCGAATCTGAGAACTTATCATGAGAAATCAAATCAGTTGATTTTGGCATTAATAAATTTTTCTTTTTTATCTTGTGGCTATGAACCACGATCAAAGATCAAAAGCTTCAAAAAGAAGAAGGTTCTCAAATCGGCTGTATTTTTCAGGATAACCGTGTTTATGTATGTCAAATATTCGTTACGATAAAATATCAACATGTAAGTAATTTGTTAAAATATCAATTTTTTTTTATATTTACGTAAGTTCAATCGCAGTCTGCGATTCGCAGATTCTAGAGAAGACGAGAATGCTCTTAGTAGGTCGTAGGCGGGGTGCGTGGGTGAACCTACTTTCCCATCTACAAAAAGTCGAAGACCAAGGTTGTTATATAGGGTTTCATAAATAATTATGTTATCCTCTCAGTGAAAGTTTTTATCATTATTTATGTTAATTACGCGAACAATAAAGCGAGATGAGAACTGCCGTCTTCAAGTTTACGTAATGGATACAAACAAAAATGCTAATAGATTAAAAATAAAATATAGTAATTTTAAGACTTTACGAGTTACAAGAGATTCTTTTACCTTTGTTAAATTTTAATATGATTCCGGAAGAAAAATATGCTTGACAAGTATGTTTTTAATATAGAAATAACATATAGTACAAAGTATCTATTGAGTAATAAAACACAAACAAAATGTAATGCGTTCCAAACATCATAGCGCAGTTTATTGGACTATTAATTTTATGTACGCGAGAGTTTGAAATGCTTTCGTTTCTGCTTAGGTCAAATAATTGTATTGGGAATTGAGGAAAGGAATGAAAAGGACTTTGGCTTATCTATAGACATTTTTGTCTTGTACCGTACTAATTAATTATCATGACTCAATTTTGTGCAAAAAATTTATTCCTTAACTAATATTATAATAAGAAAATATTTAATTTCTTGTTTGTAATACTCAATGATTATACTCAAAAAATACTTAACCTATTTAAATAAGTCACCTATAGAATGAGTTATTATCAGCGAATATCATGAGCTGTATTTTATAAAAAAAAAATCCACCCGTATAAGGCTAGGGCAGATCGCTAGTTCTATTTAAAGATCATTGCAAATATTGTTGAAAGTCTAAGATGAAGATGTTTCATTTTTATATCTTGATTTTGCACATAATGAAAATACTAAAATAGATAAAATTATGTTTTTGACTATAAAAATTACATACATTTAAACACTTCAACAGTAACATTTACATTTTTATGTAAGTATTTGCAATTATATATTTTTTATTTAAATGGGAATCTACAAATTATATTATTTCAATTTAAGGTTTCAACAATTTTAGTTAATATAACGGAATCGAGGAATTTTTTTTAACGCTCGGAAACCCTTTCTTCAGATTATATTAAGTCCAAGAATATCCAGACGGAATAGCCGTAGTACTATAAAAGAGCTGTGCAATCAAAGGGCTGATTTCTTTAGAAGTGCAATATGAAAGTTCTTATGCAATAGCAATATGCCTCGTACCATTTAATGAATTTTTAAGCGACTTTCAAAGGAGATGGTTTTCGATATTCTTGTATTTTTTTGTGTATGTTACTTTATATATATTTTTGCCAATTCTATACCTATTATTATAATTCTTTTCGAAATATGATTTTTTTTAAATAAATATCCTACTTGTTGCGAAACAAAGTGTACTTCATGTAGACTCGATTCCGTTTCGTTTTAAATAGGTATTTAAAATATATCTACGAAATATCTCGTTGTTAATCGGTGCATTTTATTCGTTTTAAAATAAGAATGGTAAAATTAATTTATATTGATTTTGTTACGTTTGAAATTTTTGGTTTTGTTTTTTGCAAGCAATATTGTACTTTCTTTGCAATTTAATCATTGTCTGCTTTTTATTTAATACTTCACAGTATTGTAGAAAGTTCTAGATTAAAAAGTTCCGACTGTGGGTATGAAAAAAGAATCTATTTAGCAGACGACAAAGTTGGCGATTCTTCTTCGCTCGCGGCGTGCTTAAACCGGTATCACAGTTGTCGGTGCTGCTCCATAGTGCGGTGTATCGGCTTTTACCCATATAAAATATACCCGTATGTATTAAAACATCTTTTTATGAGCTCACCAACAAAACGAGTCAGTTAACTTCATAAATAATTCTATTTATTTGCCTAAGTCATGTTAGACATCCTTGGGCGATATTTCTATTTTCAACCGACTTCAAAAGAAAGAGGTTCTCGATTCGATTGTATTTTTTTATATTTGTTACCTCATAATTCCGACAATTTTAAACCAATTTGGAAATTCTTTTTTTTTTATCTGAAAGGATAAATTTGTAGATTGGTTCTATAGAAATTTTATCAAAATCGGTCAAGTAGTTTAGTTTTAAAATCAAAATATCTTGTTTTGCCACAATTGAAATCTTTTTTTTAAACATATACTTTACTTTTATTTTAATAATAGAAATCGCTACGACTGCTTATTTCTAATTTTAGCTAGATTCTATTTAGAGTGACGTCAAATTTCAACTGGAAAGATCCACACGAGTATACTGTATATATGTAAAATGTTTAAAATTTACTATTTTAAAATTAATGGAAGGTATTAGCCTGAACTCGAATATATAGGATTATTATTGTTCGTTAATAACCAAAGCAATATCAAATAATTTTAGCTTTTTTTATTACTGTAGATATTCGCTTCAAAATTGTATGGAAGTGGTGGATTGGTATTGGATTCACGTGTGAGGGGCGAGGCTGCGCGCGCACTTCTACGCCACCGTAGCGCTACGAGCGCTTTAGTCGTGTCCGAGCTACGCTTGTTACTGATTGCTACGCCGTAACACCACAATACAGACAATACTTCACCGTCAAAGTGATTGTGACATTGTGATCTCAAAGGAGTTGAACCAAGTGAAATCAAAGCGAACCGGAATAGGTAAAATATTACTAAATATATGTAGTATACGATTTTAATTCAGTTAACATTTTACTTGTTATGCGGTATTGATGTTGTAATCTTAATCACATCTGTCGTCATATCTTTTATATTAGATCCATATTATTAAATACAAAACATATAAGTTTTATTTGCTATTGGTTAGTTATGCAAATAAAGACGGTACGTGTAATATGTAGTCCGGTCATTACGTTGCTACAATGCAATAAATTAAAACCGTCCAAATGAGCTTCCCGCATATTCGAACTGTTTTTACTGGAATTTTATATCACTAGGCCGAATCGCGCTATATATAACAGCTAATTGCACGCACCTTTTCTAAACCGATACGAGTATAAATATACTTATATATGTGATTTACAAATAGGCATGCGTAATCTTTAAACTTATTACTGATGTATGATTCTGGATTAAATAGTATATATTTATTATACTTCTATCACGGTTACTTCTTCTTACTCCATATAAATAATAGATGAAATAAAGGATCTAAAGCCGTTGGTACTCAATTCTTTCAGATTGTAAAGTATTGGCTTAATTAACCAGTTCTATTGGTGAATTATGTATAAATCGCGTGTCCAATTACAATCATTGTTATAGTTGCGGTATTGCTGGTGATCATAAGCGCCGCTAGTCACCATCAGGTGAGCCGCATGCTCGTTTGTCCTCTGTGTTATAAAAAAGTTGTCTCTTTTTTTTAATACGAGGAAACCCTGACTAACTGTTCTATAGTCAGTCATATAGGTGTTTTTGTGATATGTATTTTTAATAGAAATTAGGTATTAGGGATATTTTTTGCTGTTTAAATCCAAAAAATATTCTTACGTAAGAAAGATTAGTACATAATGTTCACGTATTTATTCTTATTATCTTTCTGCCTGTCAAACGTGGCAACTACTGGCAAAACCCTCCTTTATGGAAGAGGCCAATGTTCAGCAGTAGACAGTTAACAACTGATATAATGATGATCCTTTCGTCTAATCTGGTTGCTGACCTGATATAGGACTCGCATAGATAAAGTTAATTTCAAAAAAAGTTTAACATGCAGTGTGACTGCTTGAAAATGTTATTATGTAACATGATGTGAAACAGTCGATAATAGACAAGAGATATTTTACAGAACTGTTATTTTGCGGAATTAATTTGATTACAATTATTTTGTTTAATTCCGCTATCATTAGTATGTGTGCTGCCAATATTCGAAGATTAATTACTATTATTATTACCAAAATTTCTATAAACTTCCATATTACTCATCAACCTCCGACTGCCATTTTGTTCACGCACGTTTTGCGATACGTGGGTCAACTCTAAACTAGGCATTTACAGGCAAATTATTAGATCACTACCTAGTGAGAACACTAGTAACAGTTAACAGTAGACGAAATGGTAGTCTGAGAATGTTGGTTTATAAGGAAGTGGGCGATCATATACATACTAATAGTAGCGGAAATAATCAAAATAATTGTCAGCAAATAACCAGTATAGAAAGAGATTTCTCATTAAATTTATTTAATTCGGATCTAATTTTTTTTAATACAATACTCCATTTACACTCTATTAATTTATTATATATTCTTTTTTTTCGTATTTTTCAAATAATATATAGCCTGACAATTGAGTTGTTATTTTTTAATGCATGAAAATGGAATGGTAACCCTACCTACGTTATTTATTGGTTTACGCCGGCGAAGTGAGAGATGATAGATGAGAATGTAGTTAGATCTGTCAGCCCATCGTGACCAATTAATCAGAGAATTAACCATGATAGTCTCTCGAGAAGACTACGTGGAGCTTAACCTGAGCCCCTTCCCTTTTTTAAATTTATTTAAATTGAAATTTCAGTCATCGTCAAACAAGCTAACCCAGTCTGAATCGGAGCGACATAATTCATGTATTGTAGGTCTTTTACTCGTATTTTCATGGGTTGGGCGAGATGGAACCCATCGAGTTATGCTGAATTTCAACGTCGTATTCGTTTTTGTTCAATTGAAAGCAATCTAGGTACACACCGCGCAGAAACCTTAGAAAATCCAAGTTCATTGACTATGATGTTTTGTGTACGTTCATACGAGATGCTGATGAGAATAGTGTCTGCAATCTACCTGATGATCAATTTCCGATCTGCCAATATCAGATAACAGATTTTTCCGATGTTTTCTTTAGTCGTAGACGTCGTAGGCCGGTCGGAGCGAGGGTCATATTCAATACTCTCTCGTCCGCGTTTAAATTCTGCAACCCACTTTTTCACAGTCGTATACGACGGAGCAGATTCCCCCAATGTTGTTGACATATCTTCGTGAATCTCTTTTGGAGTTAGTTTTTTTTTTAAACAGGTATTTGATGAACGCACGTTGCTTAATTTTCTCCATTATTTAAAAACGCTGCACTTAGGCTCACAAAATTCAGTCTAATTTAAAAACAGATAATGCTATTGCAATAGAATTTTACATTAAAATAGTTCAAGTATTTATGTGTTAGGCCGCGAATATTTCGATCTACCCTCGTACATAGTTCATATTTCTAATGTTGGAATAAGCTCCTATGTGATAACATGTGCCCTTATAAGTTTTCATTAATTATAGCATGTATAAATTCCTTAATATATATATCTGATCCTGACATTTAATATTGTATAAGTATATAAGCGTAAATTGACGACTTATAAATAGTTTATAACCGTTAATCCTTTGACCTTATATAAATTATCTAGGCTCCACTACCTATAACCTTAACGTCATATTATATTATCAGATATGTTTGTTTATATAATATATACAGAATGAAACAAAAAACATTAGCATTGTTTTAAGTTATGCTATCAGAGAAATTGAATATTTTCCTCAAAAGGATATAGAACAATAAACGACAAATTTTGTACCTCCCTTACTAACACGAGTGTCCAGTTGATCAGTTAATATGGGAGACTTAGAATTTTTTTATGCTTTTTATTTAAGATTTACGATTATTTTTCCTAATTTCTTGTATAGCACAGGTAGACTCTTAGTATTATGTACAATTAACGAAAACGACTTCACCTCGTGTATTTTAGGATCATAAATATGTAGATATAACTATATTGACATATAACAGGTAATGGATACACACGCCACGCACTCGCTATGCGGGGTCAAGTTTAAACCCGTGACCTTTTATGAGAAGCGGTATCTAATTGTAATATAGGTCTATTGCGTTGCATAATAATATCATGTCGGTCAGGACTCAAATTAGGTAAAATATTAAAGTACATAAAGTATATCATACGGTTGTCGTTAAACATTATTAAGTTGAAACATCAGGTGTATATTTTATTATTATATCAGCCCTTAACTGTTCGTCACTGAACATAGACTTTCTCATTTATTTGCCAATTGCCATGCTTGGCAGATGCTTTAGCAACTGCAGCTTAGTTTTTGATAATGTTTTAAGAAGAACCATGTTGCCCATCCCTCGATCAATAAGTTCCCTTAGTTGTTGCCTTAAAAGTTGTCTTTTACGACACCTGTGGGAAAGGTGACCTATTCTATGTTGGGACCACACAGCATCAGGTATTACACGACTAGAAGGGTATTTATATGGACGAATGGATATATAAGAACTATCTATCGGTACATGTAATACTGAATACTTATAGGTAGTAACTGTTACTCCCGTTTCTACCAGAATACATATCGCGAAACATGTTTGCGACATTATCACGATATATATTATATGATGATGGAAATGGTTGTCGATACGTACGACACAAGCAAACAGCATGTATAAAACTTGATATAAACTCTGTACATGTTATAGTAGTAATGTATGTTTGCTAGAAACGCTGTGTTACCATGTGTACGCCCACACATTCAGTTTATATTACTATAAATATATTCAATTACGCCTTCATATAGGTACATCTCATAAATAATCTTATGTATATGATATTTTTATAGATGCCTTAGCGTATATAGAAATAGCATTAATGATTTGATCTCTTCTTCTATGTGACATTGTGAGGAATAACCGATATATTATATATATTTTATGAAAGAATTTATTTCGACATAGTTTGGGTTCAACTGAGTTTACTTACAGGGATTAAACATTTTTTTATGATTGAAAATATTATTTTGAAAAAAAATTTAGGCTTCAAGATATAAGATTAATAAATAATAAACCAGTTAAGATAAAATTTAATAGTTTATTAATATTACGGCCTCCGCGCAAGAAGCCTTTTGAACTCGGGAGGTTATACGAAGCAAATCGGTATTATGATTACTCCTACAATGTAGATATTATAACCACCATAAAATTGCCAAAAATATCACGTTCAAAAAGAATACGATTAAATTCAAACTTCCTTTTTAATCCGAGCCTGAGCCTAATTCATATTGGTAATTACGAGGTCACACGTAAAACGGAATAAAAAAGGTAAAAAGGTCAATACGCCCCCGCGACATCCTTCCACATCATCAAATAGGATATCAGATTATTTATTTAAATGATAAAAGGATACGAATTTACATACAAACTTTCACCGCCTAATTTTAGAACATTAGGGGTGGACCTGGATTTCATAAATTCTTTCATAATGCAAGCTTCAGTAGGCTTGGAAATTCATCAGTGAGATGAGTTGGTTACTCTCTCAATGAACACGTCGTTTTATATGATATCGTAAAAGAATAGTATTTTACGTATTTACATAATTGTAATTTTTGTCTATTAATCTAATAATGTAGTCGAATCGTAGTATTATAAACGTGAAACTAATTTTTATTATGTGTCACCTCTTGGTATACACATAGAATTTAGGTTGAAAAAGGACATAGGTTGCTTTTTAACCCCCTCAATCAATATATCCTGGCTGTGCAGATGTAGTCGCCGTTAAGAACTATTAATATAATTAACGATGTTAATAGAGAACTTGTGCGAATTAAAATGAGTTGTTGCTTGGACGCTATCATTCAGAATTTAGACGTGGGCCCGACATAAAATAGGCCACCCCTCCTTGCCTGTGGGCATCGTAATAGGCGACTTAATAAACTTAATGCTAGATGGATGCGCAGCAGCGTCCCTCTTCAAACATCTCTAAATGCCTAACTGTGGTTGCCTGCCCGCTTGCCAAGTGTGGCAAATACTGGCAAAACTCCTATTATGGAGAAAACTTATGGTCAGCAGTGGACAGTTAACGGCTGAAATGATGAATAATTCAGAATATCCACTTAATATCAAGTGTATGTGGCAAATGAGAATGCATTGCTGTACAAATTTGAATAACCTACGCTTTACCTCATGAGCAAATGCACTAAAACTACGACGTTAGACGTATTTTTCTTTTTTCAATTGCATTATATTATATAACTTCTTACTTTGTAACTAATATTGACTGTTATACTGAGAGTATGCTAATTATAAATTGACGCGACATTACCTACGGGATGCGGTGAATATACTACATACTTAATTGCATTTACACGCTCACTTACATCATATCGTAGGCGTAGTCGTAGCACGAGATACGCGTATCTTACTACGTACGTGTTACTACTGGATGACTGTATTCTCTAACTACGATTATGTCTACGTGACGATTCGTATGCGAACAGAATATACTATTACCTAGTATAGTATAGTAATAGGATAGCGTTACCTAAATTATAAATATAATATTTTAATAATGAATGAATGATAACTCTTTATTGTTCCCTTCATACAGATTATAAAAATTAACAATATGTACATACAAAAAAATCTAAAATTTAATTACATAAAAGCAAGATAAAGTGGCAATAATGAGTGACCTTATAGCTAAATGGCAATTTCTTCCAGGCAACCTTAGGATAGAGAGAAGTAATGAAAATTGTATCTTATCAAGGACTAATAGAAAAATAATAAGACAAAAAAGAGGAGCTAGATAAATTTAAATACAGTATAAATAATACATATATACGAATGTACATATATGAATTTATATAAAGATAAATATTCTTATATACTGTATTAGATACTATGAGGTAAATGATTATCTTAAATAGGAATTTTTTACTTGTAACTTAATATTTGGCAATAATTTTATTATTCTCGTAGAGACTGGTAGTTCATTCTAAAGGCAGACAGCTAATACGATCTACGATTTGTCATAAAATAATAATATTGCCTGTAACTTATGTATATTCGCCTGTATGATTTAGTAAAATAAATTTTATTCCACAAAAATACACCAATTTCAATCGTGGTATCACCAATTAATTTAAAAACCAAACTACTGAACAGATTTTGATTAAACTTCTATGAGACTAATCTGAAAGTATGTTCCTTCAGATAAAAAAAAATCCAAATTATTTTATAATTGACAGTGTTTTGACGTAGCAAATATAAAAATGAGAACCCTTTTAAAGTTAGTTAAAAGTATGTATATATGTGTATATTCCTTCTATTATATATTCCCATTTTGTTTTAGATTCATAGATTTATGTCGCATTTTTCAATTTTTCTAAAAGCAAATTGCAATACACTTAATGCTGAACAAATAAATACCACTTACTGACTGGATGTAATCGGTAGAGCTAGCGGACACACAATTACTTGTAGCTGGAGGTTATCGTACAACATTACGTAATCTTAGTTGAAGTCCTCGCGGGAGGTATCGATCTGGAAATGTGGCACACTGCCAGTAACAAGCTTGTGTACCCCACTGCCCACAATCTACTTCTAGAAGATAACTTCTATACTGATTTGCTACTATTCCTACAGTATCAATGACGTGCCTTATAAAGACACGGCCTCCCACACTTGCTCGTCATTATATTAAGCCAGTGACCCTCCGATCAAAGAATAATCCTATATAAATGAAGATGCTGACGTAATTCTTTTTGGCTATAAATAAATTGTAAAGGTATCGTTTTAGATTAGGTGCGTTATCAATCAACTTCGAAAAGGAATAAACAATGTTGAACTCTCTTTTTTTCGAATCTGGCATTTATAAATTAGACAATATTTAGGGTTATAAAACTGAACATAAAACCGTACACCTACCCGTTTGGTCAACGTCATAATAGTAGGCTGATATTCTCGATTCATAGGGGAAGCGCTTTCCCAACAATAGGACTATAGTGGGTTTGTAATAATGATAATCTATAACTAATTCACGAGTGAGACGTTGATTTTTAAAGGCGCTTATCTAAACACGTCTATTTATATAAATTCTAATATTATCGAAAATGACAAATTGTAATTACAAATGGTATTTCCGTTACATTTAATAATTAAGATCTTCCATAAAAACAAATCAACGTAAATAATACATGTAAGACTTACTGTATGATTAACTTTTGCACGTACGTAGATTCGCGGGAAATGTGAAAGTAGAAGATCGCTTATTAATGATGTATGCAGTTAAAACATACAGCAGATTTTAAATTAACCTTCTTGTTAGGATTTAAAGGAACACCACTGTGAAAACAGTATGATAAAAATTCTAAAAAATATTATTTTAGCTTATATTGCTTACATACATTATCTAGCTACTATTTAATATAGCGATAAGATTTGAGCAACATAATTCGAGGAACAAATTCTAACGACGTATTATTTAAAATTCACAACAGTCATAAAATTGGCATAGACAACCGTAATATACAAAAAATACCGTCGATTTAAGAAGCTCTTTCTATTTACAGCCTGTTGAAAAAGTAGTATAATAGACTCGATAAAATATTAAAAGATTTAACCAAACTATCAATAAAAATTAATATTCAGCAAAATTAATAATAATTATCTTAATTTTATGCAATAGAGTACTGTACGTAGTGCTCATAAAGAACTTTAATGGTGCTTTTAACGTTGCCTGGTACAGAATACCTATAGCATTAAGTCCACCTTTTGTACAACATTTTATCGGTCAATATAGTTTAAATAAATAAACTTTATAAAGATTTAATGATAGAATATAGTTATTACAATTGTTATTTATGCATTTTTTCTTTTTACAGATTATTGAACAATAAACTGACGAATCAATCATGGCCTTTGCTGGACTCAAGAAACAGATCAATAAGGCTAATCAGGTGAGTTCTTATTAATGAAAAGGTATTTTGATTATTATAGGTAAATTAAAACATTTGGAAGTAATATCACATCGGTAACGATTCAAAAATGTTTATTTCCAGTGAATATGAATAATTCGACGATTAAATTTACCTCTTCGAAGGACTTGAGCAAATATTACGATCACTGAAGTTATTCTTTGGTTCTATTTAAAAATAATCTAAAGACTGTATAGCGTAATTAAAATTAAAGCTTAAAATTGTAATGCGAAAATAACTGGTGAGAAATTGGCTTGTATATAGAGTGAATCTGAAATCATTAGAATGTTTTCTCTCTTATAGTATAAAAAAAAATTTCGCAAAGGAACAAGAGTCAATAAACTACAAAATAATTTTGGGGCTTTAATACTAGCACGGCGGGGGGAAAGAGACAACAGCCCCATTGCTAACAGTATACCTTAGCAGGTAGACATCTACGCAGTTCCCATTGAAAACCATCGAGGTTAATTCTGGAATTTATCACGATGGGGTAAAACTGACCTGCTTTCATCTTCATCACTCAGTGATACACTGCCAGCGTATACCGATTACGGTACCAATAGTACGTTAGTACTCATAACTTGTCTTTGAATTTCTTATTTTCGAGATTTCTGTCTTAGTATATTAACGTAGTGTTACTGATACGACGGTCAAACTGAAAGTCCTTAGAAGATAAAAAGCTGATTGAATTAGCAAGTTTTTACCTTTATTTTATCTTTTCAAAATAGTGTCCATTAACGTCAATACATCGCTGCATCCGATAGAACCACTGAGAAAAGCACTTTGTCTACTCGTCCTTACGGATCTCTTAGACGGCCTTCTAAAACGTAGCCACAGCTTCCTCGGCGTCCATAAAACGTTTTCCTCGAAGTTTTTCTTTTATTTTTCGGAATAAATAAAAATCGCAAGGTGCGAGGTCTGAGCTATAAGGCGAATGACCCAGCAGTTCTACGTCTGAGGTCGCCAAATAATCGATGGTATGCCTGGCGGTGTGCGACGAAGCATTGTCGTGGTGAAGGAGGATCCTACTGCGAGGTCGTTTCTCACGCACTTTTTACAAAACACGTGGCAAACATTTGTTACTGTACCACTCTGCAGTTACTGTTTCTCGATCCTCTAAAACAATTGTCGTGTAATGACCTGTCTTTCCAAAGAACGAGGCCACCATCTTTTTTCCCACGGAAAGAAACACCCACTGAGCTGACTGTCTTTTAGTTTCGCGATCATAACAGTAAATCCAGCTTTCATCTCCCGTAACTATATCAAACACAGAATTTGAGTCACCTCCGTTAAATCTTTCATGCATTTCATAGCACCAATCAACACGACGGAGTTTTTGAGCCTCAGTCAAATTATGAGGTATCCACCAGGCATAAGGCTTCCTGACTGCCAAATGTTCATGGAGGATTTTGTGCACTTGACTCATACCAATCTCTAAGATTACTCGGATCTGCTGATAGGTCACTCATTTGTCAGTCTCTATCATACGCCGCACAACACTGATGTTATCTTCAGTCGTCGCCATAGAAGGCTGTCCCTCATGCACATCATCGGTGAGATTAGTACTAACTAACTTTTTTATTGACTTAGATGACATCGAAAGTCATAAAAAGTCATCGCACGAAAATTTTCTCGTGTTAAGTTTATGATAACGTTACACAGACTATTTTCAATTTGCCGTCAAACGGTAAAACAAATGACAAACGAATAAATTATTTACTCAGTATTATTCGTAAAGAGTTCCATTTTCAAAATTTTCAAAATTTTTTTTTATTATATTGCTTTTAAGTAGCCAGTTCTAAAAATTTTCACTGTAGCCCTCGTATATTGCCGTGTAGCCCCGGCATAGAAAGGGGCACCCTTTCCTTTTCCGTGATTAAAAAGACTAAAAAGTCGAGGAATGGGCAGTAGCGTTTCTCTTAAAATATAATTCGCCAACGAAGTGTGGCAACTATTGGCAAAACTCTTATGGGAGAGGGCTATGTTAAGCAGTGGACAGTTAATGGCTGATATGAAAAAAATATGTAATCATAATGTAGAGTAAATTAACATATCCAAACATGTTTTCAAATTTTAACGTAAATATTGTTAGTAGTATATTTTTAATTAATCTAATGGACTCTAATAGTCCATTAAAGTTAATAGCAATAAGACTATATCATTGGCGTTGAACAGCAAGCCTACGATGTTATCAGTGTTATAACCATTTCGCAGCTCCCGTTTCCTTTCTATAATGCCTCAGTTCCGTCTAAGGCGTTTAAGATATTCTTATATTTCCTTCGTCGTTCTCAGTGTAAATAGTCCCAGTATTTTACGTATACTATTATTTATTCTGTGCTCGTAAAATATTTGATACCAACAGCGAGCAAATATCTTTGTTGTAATTTGTCTTTTTGTTACCATTTCCTATATAGTACCCTATACATTGACTTTGAAATAGCATATTAACATAATACGAGTATATCATTTTAAACAGTGGTTAAAAAAGAGAATCTGATTTGGCTCTTACAACTTTTAACTATGGAATTCTAAACAAAATACAAAATTATATACCTATCCCTGATTGGAAATATGTGAAATGTTACTCATTCACATTAAGCCTTAAACGGGAATAATACAAGAACCTTTTATTTATTTTTTATACACAATAGAGAATCAGGTAGGTTCAGACTAAAAGATAAACGTAAAAATAGTTTTCAATTGTTGTCGAAAAAGGAAAGAAAGCTCTTAGCACGATTACACTAAATGTTCGCTTACTGGTCTATCTTAAACTGCGCTTAGATTAAAATAACAAAGAGTACAGTACAAGAGCTAGAACAAAGAACCAAGTAAATTTTGATTAAAAGAAAAACGTCCAAAATTATTCGCGAATGCGCAGTTTAGTAATACTCATTATTTTAACTCTGAACAAAAAATTGTAGCAGTAGAATCAAACAGCATAAAGAATAGAAGAAGAATAAATAATTTACTCGTAATTTATAAAAAAAAAAAATGGTGTATAGGTCCTAAATCAATGGTTTCATTGTTTTATCAGGTTTCATACCGATTGGAATTCTTGTAATGTACCTGTTAATATTCAAAATCCAATAATAGCATCCCATCTACGTAATGATCACGCACCCGACAAGGCTGTTAATTTTGTACATAAACAGAAACTGGTACAATGCGTTAGTAGTATGATAAAAGTGGTAACATAGAGAATGTTACCACTTTTATACCAGGTTTTCATTTGCAGGAAGCATAAATTATGCTTCCGAAATATGCATCATTTATCTTAATAGGTGCTGTATCATTATTGCTAAAAAATACGAGATAACGCAGTAGTTTCGACAGCTTCTTTCAAGTTCTTGCCAATCGTTCGCAGGCTCTTCTTACTTTGTAAGCAACGACATTGGAGAATGATTGATGGTTTTGTAATGGCATAATGTCATTGCCTTCTCATTCTAAATCCCGGAGCGTTTGCCCTTGACCTGAATCATATAATCTCGAAATACTGTAATCGGTACCGATTTTCTTCACAACTTGCAAAAACTCATTAATATATAAAAGATAAGGAATAAATGATTTCTGAACCATGACTTTTGGAAATTAGTATGTTACTAAAAAGATCTTATAGTTAAATAGTAGTTTTTTGCCTGAATTTGTTTCATGCCTTCTGTATTATAAATCGTCTACTGATGCCTAAATGTGGCATAATAGATACAATAATAATGTGTAAATAAATATAATATAACTAACCTAAATAACCAACCATACGAGTATAAATAAAAATTTAAGGATAATATTTTGTAAAAATACCTTCAATTATTTGATATTCTAGTTATGTATAAAGTAAATGTAGTGTAATTCATAATTACACTACTTTCATTATCTGACGAAATATTTATTCTTTATTCCAATTGATACTATACCTTAACTCGGGATTGGGGGTTTATCTCAAACCGTTTTTTCGATTACTTTTATTGTATAGCGGTACGTAGTTTAGATTTTCAGATAGTACATTACTTCATTTATATATTGGTACTTTTGTACTCATACTTCATTAGGTATATATAATACTTAGTAATCTAGTTGTTCTGATTTTGTAAGAGTATGGTAAAATATTTACAACCAACTTAAAAAGAATAGGAGGTTCTGTTTATTTTTCTTCGTAACTCTGTCATTTATTTGGATTTCTTTTTTATCTAAAAGGATATGTTTTCAAATTGGATTCTTAGAAATTTTATCAATTAGTACTTATTAATTTTATTAATTAGTATTATAACTTTAGTAGTTGGGGTTTTAAATCAAAATAACTGATTTTGCATTGATTGAAGTTTTTTTGTGTTTTTTATTTTGTAGAACAAAATATATTATTTGTGCTACTTAAAAAAGGATTTCTGTCTATCAGTTACGTTATTACGGTTATAATCGAGTGTTACAACACCAGAAAACTAGCAAATATAATTGAGCGTATGCATTTTGTAAATGCAGAATCCTTCCGCATCCAGATTCACTATGAAAGGTGGGGTGAGGAGAAGTACGAGCGTTTGGCCGTGACCTCTGCGTCCTATATTACCGATCTACCCCAATTATTACGGCCTTCAGTAGCGTACCTCAACAGGACTAATTCAGGTGTTTAATTTTCTCATTTTCAATCAGCTAGTATGTTTACTAAAACCGTAAAAGAAAAATTGTCAAAAAGCATCTAATTGCAAATGAAAGATAATGTACCCATAAGCGATAGAAAGTTAATCTTTAATACTGAGAAGTATAAATCTAATAGTTATCTTCAATTTTGTCAAGTTTATACGACTCCACCCAATCAAGAGCTAATATCTTATTATTCATTTTTTAATGCTCTACGTCAATAGAGTTTCTAAGCAGAAGCTGAAGCAATGAAGCTGCTCATAATCTTAAAAAAATTATAACTATTTTATAAATGTCAGATAAGGTTTTGGCGAATTATCGTCGATTTATTAATAGCAGGCACTTATTGCATTAAATCATTCGACAATGCCTTTTGTAATGTTGCTTTTGCCAATCAGTTACCACTTTGATGAGCTATCAGCTTGTTTGCCACTCCCAGTAGCATAAAAATTAACAAATCTTCTAAGTTTTTTCCTTTATAAATTTCATCTTGGAATTCCGAATTTATTTATAGAATCAAAGAGGCTTCTTTCAAGTCATTTTAGAGCCGAAAGTTGGCATGCATCTTATCTGGTGTTGGACCACAAAGAATATTTTTCTTTCTTTGGCTGGCAAAGGAATATTTTTCTTTTTTCTTTAAATTGTTTAATGTAAACATCATAACAATATTTGACAATACAAGTGTATTCTGTGATGTTCATGATGCTATTTATATCTAACTGACTGTAACCTTTTTCCCTTAGGTGGGCGGTCAATCTAAGTTGATAATTTTGTAGAAAAAACTCTTTACGTTGACGTCTTTTTCTAAATTGAAGGTAGATTGGACCTTTCAAAAAATGTCCTTATAAATTTTTAAATGTCATTTTCTTGTATTGCAAGTATTGATAGCTGATACTTTGTCAGGGGACAGTACTCTCTCTACGAAATATTATGTTACACTGCACTTGCTATATTTTTGTTTATCTTATTCTGGCTAGTAAAAAATTTATTTGAATCTTAAGAATTTATGATTATGAGTGTGGTCCTGTTTTATGAGTACTAAACATAAATTTGGGTTTTACTTTTATTTGTTTTTTATCCGCATTATTTTACTGTGAATATTTGTGTAATTTTTGCAACTTCGTTTCGAAAAGATATATTTTTATATTTATTAATCAAGATAAGAAGTATGTATGCTAAATACTATGTGTAAAATTATATGTTAATAAGTACCTAACTAATGAGTGATAATTTTAATAAAGATTAAACATTACTAAGAAATAAATTAGCAAACTTACTTTACTATTTTAAATATTTTTATATAGGGTGAAATCGAAATCTTCAGTAAAAATATCAATTTAAAAATGAACTATATTATATATATTAGATAACCATGTTAATTTATTAGTTAAATAATTTTACAATATCTTGATTAGTTTAAGAATAGAGGAGTCATATGCTGTCTCCATTCTATATTTAAGACTAAATTATGATATCATATTACACAGGGCCGGCTTGAACATATTTCCCGTAATGTAATAAATGTAAATAAAGGATTTGCATAAGAACGTCAAATATTTACCGCTATACATATTACGCACCGCAAAAATACACTTAGTAGTTTAGTACTTACCTACAAGATCTTAATTTATACGAACAGTCGTTTTACCTACAAGTGATTCAGGTAATCGGGAACGACTAAGCAGCAAATACTCATCCACAGCTATTGAAACTATTCATTATTACAATTTATATTTTCCAAAAGGGAGTAGAAAAATAAAGTAGCATTTCAGGCCAAGGTTAGGCCGTGACCCTTACTTTTGTTCGAGTAAGCGTTCTGATAGATATTTTACTGAGCTAGGTGTTATTTTGCGGAAGCCTGTATCACAATTTTTTTTTTATTAAAATTATTTTGTTTAAATCCGCTACCATTAATATGCGTGCGCCTGTCAACACTCGAAGATTGACTACAATTATTACAATAAATTCTACAATTAAATATTTTCCGAAATTTTAGGGCCGGAAGAAACACAAATTTAATGATAAAATTACATAAGCAGTTGTGTTTGCATGGCTGTGTTTCGGTTTGGCGTGAATTTACAGGGTACAGAGGAATAGTATCTGAGTACTCAGGAATGGCAACGCATGGGGGTATCATGAGCGAAACAGTATACTCTTTTATGTCCATGGTACTGCTCATGTCTAAAGGTGACGGTTACCACTTTCCATCAGGTGGGCCGTCAGCTTGTTTGCCATTCTAAGTTGTATAAAAAAAACATAATATATACTATTTAAAAATAATAAAAATGTTAAAATATCGTTCCTATGGAATATTACGATAGGAATTATGACGAAACAACCCTGCTTACCTAATCTATAGTTTATAATATTATTTCAGTATAATAAATATATTCTTTGTATAGAAAGAATTTGTAAACGTCAGCATCGTGCGATTATATATTCTGTTTTAAAAATAACTAATTATACAATTTCATGAATCTTCCCGTGAAATCCCTTGCGGGTTAAGCAAAAAGAACCGATCGCTAAAGTCCTAGTCTTACATACATGTCAATTCATCGCACGAAATTTCTTAAAACTTATGAATCATGCTTTAGGTAGAACACGGTCTGTCTGATCAAATTAGGTTCATATATATGTCTCAATCGGTACCTATATTGAAAATAGTTTATGTTATTGGGTATTTATTTTCGAAGTATTAAGTCGTATTAGGATTTCTTCAGGGTTCAATTCTGACGTTGCAGTTTTCCATACAGAACTGTTTACCATCAGTAGTATGCTTGTTTGCAATCTTTTAGAATTGGGGGGAAAGGATTGTTAGTAATGGAGACTATGAATCCCATTGCTAGCAATATACTCAACTATACGATCTCCTCGCGGTTCTCCCTGGAAACTATCATGGTTAATTCCTGACGAATTTATCATGATGGGCTAACTGGCCTGTTTTCATTCTCATCTATCACCCTTCACTGGTGCTCCGCCACCGTATCCCGTTAGCGCAGGCGCGGTTACCATACCATTTTCACCTATCAAAAAAAACCTTTAAGGATTATCAAAAGGATATTTATAAAATTTATATACACAGCTAATGATTGGATAAGACTGGCTATTTAGTAGTCCTATATAACTCATTGGTTATCTTCCTTTAACGATAATTATGAAAAAAGGATAGTACGTTGTAGATCAGCATTGTCCGATGTATTAAGTTGAATGCCCTTAATATTTATGTCTAATTAACGAAACGGGAAATCTTATCAAAAATAATTTCGTGTATTTCATATAATGCAGTTCTCTAAACTTCGATTTCTAAATCCTATTCTATTATTATTATAAACGCTTAAATCTGTCAAGATGTATTGATTGTTGTTTGTTATTCTTTCTCTCAAAAATTACTTTGAATTAAATTTGTTACACGAATATGTTATATCCTAACTTAGCATATATATAAAACATGCTTTATGTTAAATTAGGATACTTAAGGTATATGATGTTTTATGTTCTCGCGGCTTTGACTATTCACATAGTCGAAGCCGCGGGATTCATATAACTAGTTTTTTTAAAATAGGTATTTTCTAAAAACAAGTTAAAATGAGAATCAATAATAATAGTAAGCTATGCGCAGGGCTTACTTAATTTAGTATAGTGCATTATGATGTTGATATAAGTAATCAATAGCATGGATTCAAAATGCTGTGATGTTTTACTTTAATGGTATGCTGTAGGATACTGAAATTGCTTGTTTTCTGTTAGACAATGCCGTGATTTTGATGCCATGCAAAAACTCAAAAGATCTTATTCTATATTCACAAAGACCTTAAAAAAATTTGCCTTCTCGAAAGTGTCGCAAACTAACATAATGTAACCTTGTTTCAGTATGTCTCGGAGAAGATGGGTGGTGCCGAGGGCACGAAGTTGGATTTGGATTTCGTGGAAATGGAAAGAGTAAGTTAACCAAACAACTTTAACTTTAATGTCGGTAAATTTCATGTACATTATAATGTTCAAAACAGAACTTCACGCTAGAATAACTTTATTACAATATTAAACTTGAATTTTGTTTTGTTGGTTGTTTTTACATGATATGACCTTTTAATTAGTGTATATTTATTATTTACACCTACATAACAAAGATATTTTTAAGTGACTTTTAAAAAAGAAAACTTTTATGAAGTACAAAAAATCTAGACTTTGTAGACTTTGTACAAAAGTCGATTGCTTGGGTACCTCTGTCCCATTCGTGTTTCTACCGTGAAGCAGTTGTGTTTGCATAGCTGTGTTTCAGTTTGAAGGGTGGGATATGGCGTGAATTTAAAGGGTACAGAGGAATAGTACCTGAGTCCTCAGGAATGACAACTCATGGGGGGTATCATGGGCGAAACAGTATGTGTGTGTACTGTTATGTTCATGTTACTGCTCATGTCTATAGGCGACGGTTACCACTTTCCATCAGGTAGGCTGTCAGCTTGTTTGCCATTCTAAGTCGTATAAAATAAAAAAAAAATCTATTTCTTTTTGTGTCAACTACAAATAGTTTTTACGTGCGAATTCCATGACTTAAATGTATAGATTCATCAGAATAAGCTGTAGTTTATATCTGTCTGCATGCCAAATACGTGTAACTATACTAAATTTCATTACTATTGTTTGAGCTTTTAAGGCAGCAGAAAGTAACAAACACAAAAATAATATTATAAAGGATAAAACTTAAAATTTATTGAACTTGGAATGGCAAACAAACAGAATTGCTCACCTAATACAAAGTGGTAAACATCACTTTTAGATATAAACACTACCATTCACATTACAGAATGCACTGTAATGCTTGTAATTCTCTCAAGCATTATCAATTCTGAGGACAAGTGTTGTACCGCTCTATCCTATAAATTTATTGTCATATCTCACTCAGCCCAATCTATTTATTTTACATTTAACTATATCATAGTTGTGGTTTATTGATCTTGGTATGAGTAGCTGTGGCTTTTCAACTTTTATAAATCCGAAGCAATGAGGTCACATTGCGAATGAAGCCTGCTCTTCTGCTACTTGCTCTTCTAATTGAAACAAAGCTAGGCTAACTTTGTTAGAAGGGTTCTACACGTACAATGAACCTAATGAGAGACTAAGTGCATAAAATCGAGTCCAATTTATATATTACTGAATGCAGTATTTTAGAAACAATACTTTTTTATTACAGAAAACAGACGTGACATGTGAATTGGTAGAGGAGTTGCAAACGAAGACAAAAGAGTTCCTCCAGCCAAATCCAACTGCCCGAGCCAAGATGGCAGCCGTGAAAGGAATAAGTAAACTCAGCGGGCAAGCAAAAAGCAACACATACCCTCAGCCTGAGGGTGTACTTGGAGACTGCATGTTGCATTATGGAAAGAAATTAGGAGAGGATACCATATTCTGTAAATATTTTAAATTCTTTTTTATGCTTTATTGGCCTTGACTGTCTCACTTCCGATGGGTACATTATTTGGTAGTTCTACTTAGTCTGCTACTAGGTGGCGCTGTGTGATATATCTGAGGTTATTTATTACTAAAACAGTAACTTGTGTGTATTCACCGAAAAAAAATATTTTTGTATTGTTTATATATCTGAATACCGATACAGAAAATAAGCAAAAATTCTTCTGTATGTTTATTCAATTAACTGAATATTGTTTTATTTTTTCTCAGCACAATGTCTTATTGAAATGGGCGAAGCGTTGAAACAAATGGCAGATGTGAAATATTCCTTAGATGACAATATCAAGCAGAGCTTCCTGGAGCCCCTGCACCACTTGCAAACCAAAGATCTTAAGGAAGTCATGGTGGGTTCACACTTGAAATACACGCATTTTATGATTCACCATCTTGTTAATTAAAACATTTAAAGCGTTTAATAAACGTATTTTTGCATTTATAGTTTTTATTGTAAAGAAGATTACAAAACTAAACTCATACTTTGTTGAAGTAGGTTTGTAATTAGTATATATGTAGGTAGTTATAATTTTCAATCTTCAAAAAGAAGGAGGTACTCAATTTGATTGCATTTTTTATGTTTATTACCTCATAACTACGTCAGTTCTAAAACTTTTTCTTTTCCCTCGCTTCTTCCCTTCTTTCTTTACGCGGAATTGGCATTTCTAAAATGATTTGGAAAATTCTTTTCCTATCTGAAAATATAAGCTTACAGATTGGTCCCATAGAAATTTTACAAAAACGGTTTAGTTGTTTAGTTTTTAGATCAAAATAAATAGTTTTGTCACAATTGAAGTCGTTTTTTTGTGGGACACAATTTTTAATTATTATTAATAAGATGGTAAATATATAAAGTATGAATGTATATTTATATTTATTTACAATATTTTACTAATACCTTTGACTACCCTATCGGGGACCACATTTTATGTTATTTAATAACTAGTGACTCGCTTCGCAAAGTTAAATAGCCAGAGTTTCCAATTTTTTTTTTAATAAAAGACATTCTATGTCAATGTGTGATAATGTACGTTTTTAAAGATGAAAGAATTTTTAAAATCGGTCTACATGACAGATGATTTTTGAGTAAATCCATTTCTTTTTTATAACATTAGAATACGTAGAAACATTTCTGTTATATAAAATACTGAATTCACTTGTCCTTCAATTACAAGTTTGAAATATTTTTGATGGGTTCATATTTTTCTATTAGTTTATAATTAATATTTGTTTGTAGACCTGCTAATGTCTAATTATGAGGAGACAATAACATGTTTTTTTTTTTATAAAATTTTCATTACAGCACCACCGAAAGAAACTACAGGGACGCAGACTTGATTTCGACTGCAAACGACGAAGGCAAGCAAAAGGTGGGTCTTCATCCATGTTTACTACTAGTTGTAATATTATTATTTCCTTTATTTCCGCTTTAGAATGAAACTTTCTCTATCTCATTTTTGTTTCTTTTATTTTAAACCAGGCCCTGGTAGGGCCAGCCCTTATATGAGTCCAAGCCATACACCAAGACAGGGTATGTGGGAGATTATGTATTATCATTTGAATTATAAACGCTAGAAACTACATATTCCACCCACCGTAGGAAGCTAAAGCAAGACATCCAAGTCTATTTCAATAGAGTCTGGTTGAAAGGTAAACAAAGACAGTTTTGTTAAAATAAACATATAAACACCCAGTAACTAATTAAAAATTATTGGAAGAATACTTGTACACTTGTTTCAAAATTTCATTTTAAATCGCATTTGAAAAATTTAACACGAAAAGCTCTTTTGAAGATCCGATGAAATAATTTCTATGGTCGCCATTATTAATTGTTTGCAATGCTGTACGAAAAAAATATTTTGAGATTATTAAACGAAAATTGTACTAATTGATTAGAAAATCGAATTTGTTTAATAAATATACATTACCTATTTAATATCATATATTTACTATGTTAAACTTATATGAATTTAAAACGGGAAATTTCAATGAAATAAATTGAAGTAATTAACAATATTGATTTTCTATTATTATTCTTAAATGAACATAGACTAGACTGTCTATGGTTGGGTCAATGACTTGTTTGTTTACCTTCACAGTACAATATATTGAAATAGATATCTAAGTATTTCAATCCTAACAAAGACTCGTTTCTTACATGTTTGTGTTCCTGTCCTGCATCTGCGTTGGACCTTATCACTTCACTATTCTCATTGCCTGACCATTATTTTCAACGTTTGGTTTGTATGCACTTTGTTTTTTTTTTTTATTATTACTTTATTTTATAATTTTTGTTGCACGTATGTGCGTAATTTTGCGTGTTTGGATCGTGCGCGCGTGTCGGACAAACGTTCATACATCAGGCTCTCACATTCCAGACGATGAGATTCGGCAGGCAGAGGATAAATTCGCCGAATCACTGCAGTTGGCTCAGATTGGCATGTTCAATCTACTCGACAATGATGTAAGTTCGATATCAATCTTTAGTTGATTGTGAAAAAAAAATTGTTTGGAATTAAAATATGAAATTGTATTTCATTTAAAAATTTAATTGTTACAATTCAGTTGCAGAATGAAATAATTAGGTATTTTGAGTTAAATGTTTAAAAAGCATTAAAATACCTGTTTTGATTATTAATTACAACTCAACTGTATAATACTTTCTTTGTAGTCTATAGTATAGAATTAAAATAAGATGAGATAATAATGTAAGTTATTATTATATATGTATGACATTTGCATAAAAATATGTGGTGAGTTTTATACTGTAAATGTGACTAAAAGTTGGGCAGAATTTGATAATATTTTATTTCTCGAGATTAAATAATTAAGCAGCGCAATAATTTTGTTTTTTTAACTATTAATGTAATATGAACATCAGTTGAAAGGTCTCATTAAAAATTAGAAGATCTGGAAATATGTTCTCAGATTAATAATTGTCTTCCTAAACACTTGAGTAATTTTCAAAGTTTGCTACCTGACAATGATAATGTTATTTCTTAACTACTTATTTCTTATATCATTGCCATTTAATTTGTAGGTGGAACAAGTGGCACAGCTTAGTTTTTTCGCGGAGGGTCTGTTGGAATACCATCAACAATGTACGGAGATACTCAAGGGTCTCGTGTCAACGCTGATGGAGAAGTGAGTCCGAAATAAATATTTTTAAACTTGCAGACTTTTTATTCTCCTAGAAGTAGCAAATATGATAAATAGTAGTTATTAATTCTATTTATTAATAATTATTATTATTACAATAATTATTGTGTATGTGTTTAATAATCTACATCGTACATTACAATTTATTTCATAGTATGTATAAGCTTGAAGATTATGTAATTGTTTTATATACTATAGACATATTTAGTAAACAATTTTGGTACGTTCCAATTTCTAAAATTAAAGAAAAATAACAATAGTATTATATAATATACTATTTTATTATACTATTTGTCTATGTTATGTTTTATGTACTATTATTTTTATAAAAAGATACTTTAGGATTTAATACTAAATATGTTAATTACATATATATATGTATTGTTTGTTTCCAGGAAAGAAGAGGCTGTCAACCGTCCTAAGCTGGAGTTTGTTCCGAAGACTCTCGCCGATCTCCACATCGAGGGCATCCACGATTTGAATAATGGTAGGCGGTACGGTTCCACCCAGAGTCTATCCAAACCCAGAAACCACATCCCTCCCTCATCCTCCGTCGGCGACCTGAGTAATGCTGATCCTTTAAAAGCCTGGGAGGGTCCTACGCCGCCGAGAAACCAAGCGCACCTTAGATCAGCACACCCACCTGCGCCTGGGTTTAAACCGCATCCAGCACCCCGGAACCAGTTCAATGGACGGGACCCGTGGACAGGTGATTTCGGATTTATTTGCTGGTTATTTATGTTCGATTTTGATTGTGGATTGCTATGGGTATATAGATGGTGACGGGTTATGGTCAAAAATTGCTAATGGTTGTATGGGCATAGTAATGCATAGTTTAAACATTTATGGCCAGATAGTTGAAATTTTAAATGTAGAAAAACAAAAATCGACCTTCTCAAGTTTTTATGTCAAAGATTGTGTGGGTGAAATCACGAAATATTTTTACTGGCCTATATAAAATAAACGCTTTAAGGATTTTATGAGCATGTATTCTGGGTCTACATACGATTACAATTTTTTTATTTTTATTAATGTTTTTATTTTATTTATCACTTAAACATAATTATGTTATTGGAAATACTACCCTCTGTTAATAATTATGTCTAATTAAAAGTAAGCAATTTATAAAAGACAAGAGAGAAATGCTTTTATTATCTAACAATACACAGTTGGTTAAATAGGAAATTTTATGCAGTCCATGATTAAAATCTTTTTTTATCATTCATTCACACCTCACAGTCACAGGGCACATAAGCACGCTTCATGCAAATTAGTCTGTCTCAATGTCGGTGAAGGGAGGCTTAACTTCAAAGTTACTAATACTAAAGAATAATTCTTATTATTATAATAGACACAGAACAGAAAAACCAGTAAAACAAATGAACATCATTAAAATGTACCGTTTAAAATGTTTTAATGATTCTATGAAACCAGAGCCATACCGTATACGACTATATATAAAAAAGCGAATCAAAAACATATACGAGTACAAATTTAAAATTTCTTTACTTACAATTTTGCTTTTTTCTGACACTGAATCAACACATAAATCTAAAATTCAATATTTACCTACACAAATTCACAAATTGTGGTCAACTTCAGCAACTTCATTTTGTTTAATATTCTTCCTAAATTTTTCATAATTAATATATAATATATAAATAGAACAACCATTTTTGTAATATATTAAGTAAAACTATAACAAAATTACGCAATTACACTTTTTTAAATCTCATGTAGGTACTCAAATATTGTGAACAGTATCGTAATTTTAATACGTATATCGATTACAGTATTTTTTAGGGCTTAAGTGAATTTAACAATGGTAATAAGGTTTTGTTCGATTAGGTTGTAATTGGACTTGCACTATCTGGTATTTGGGCACCGATTACGATAAATCTATAATTACGGCATAAACGCGATTCCTACGTTGCATTTTTTTTGTTCTGCCATAACTCTACTTGTGACTAACTCTATTAAAAATGTTGTTTAAATCATACTTGTTTTCTACACGTTTGATAGAATCCCAGGTGATTGAGTTTGAAGAAAATTCGTGTATCGGTTATGGTCATATAAAATAATTTTACTATTTATTTCTTATTTATTATTTGTGTGGTTCCACGAGAAGTGATTATGTATGCAAAAATCAAGTTTCATTTTGAAAGTAGAAAAAAAAGATACGTTTGGTTTTTTCTAAATAGTAAAATTGTATTTTTTCCCCATTAAAAATAATTTTTATTAGGATTTAGAAAAATAATTAATCAAAATAATAAATACATCCAAATTCAACTATTAATTCAATTAAATTATTAATAAAATTACTATTTTTTTTTAATATTTTTGTAGTTTTGTGTATGAAAACACATACCTATAAAATTTACTCTCAGTTGGTTGATATCTTTATTTTTACTTATAATATGTTGTATATATGTAATTTAGTTTGTAGTTACAAATCGTTTAGAATATTTAAAACACCTCTTTTTACTACATTGTAAAGTCATCTACTATTGCATTTTTATTTTTCTGTATAAATAATACAAAAGAAATTTTTTACACCTTTTTGATCTTACACGTATTTTTTTTTATTTGCTTTTTAAGGTGGTTAACCAGAGTGGTGTAGAGACAAGGGCATGGTCAAATAAATACAGTTAAATATTTATTACAGGTTGCCGAAGTTCTGTCCCATATCCTACCCCTCCTTATTCCTTAAAATATTTGTTACATTAGCAGCAGTGTAACAATTCCTTAATTTTATCATGTGGTAACATTTGCCAGGAACTAAATAAAACATTTCAAATTATAATTAGTTCATGAAAGTATAACACATAGTTTATAGTGTATTTATGGTAAATGTTACACATGATTTTCAGTGTATGTATGATATCCATGGAAGTAGTTTTATATTATGTTTGTCAGTATAACATATGTCGTATTCTTCTTACTTTTTCAAATACAAAATCTCTTTGACAGATAACGAAATTCTATAATTTTTAATTCCAATAATATATGTTAGAAAATAGTCCCATTATTCATAAAAAAGTTTCTACAAAACTTATTTTAACTATTACAGTTTTATCACTTTCTTTCAAATTGAAAATTTTGCACAAAAGAAAGAGACAAAATAGTTAAATAGCTAAAATAGGTTCATGAGAGGCGTGAATAAGAAGGTAAAACTTTTTATTATCTGTTAAATGAGATTTTGTTGCTAGAATATTGTGTGGTGGCCATAGGCGTATTTGAGGGAGAGTGAGCGTATCTAACCCAGGACTGTCTTGTACCTATTCCAGGACACATATACGCCTTTTTCAAGTGACTAGTCCTCTCTTGGAAAATAGTCTTAAATACGTCAATGGTAGTGCCTTTTATCTCGACTCCAAATTACCTCGAAAGATATATGTGAAGTATGTGCGTTTCTATCTATACGACTTAAATTTTATTGTATAAGTTTAAATTTTCGACCAGTCTTTGGTAGGCTCACCATTTTTATATTGGGTTTCAATATGTTCGACAAAATAAATGTTACGTGTACAGCGGTTCACAATGCCTCTGACTACCCCACCTAGATGTGCAGTTTTGAGAATATTTTATATGTACATATATATCTACTTCTTTCGTAATAACTTCTATATAAATATTAAATATCGATTCGTATTTAGTAAATAGGTGTTGCCGTTTTAAAGATATTGAAATCAATAGAATTTATTTACGTTGTTCTGTCATACTCGAGAGATGTATCAAAGTTTCCGCAAACAGCTGTTTAATGATTTTAACTTTCAATAATTTAATATCTTATTTGTTAAGTAAGACATGGTGACAGGTTGAACATATGGAGTTGTGAACTTTTCTATTTAATATTATTAGAAATGTTGTCGAATATGTTTGACTTAAAATTTTATAAAGTATTCTCTTTGTCACAAGTGATTTTATTCCACCAGATAAATTGAAATCGATGGAATCAAATATTTTACGAATTTTTATGCAAAATTCCCATGCAGTTTAATGTCTAATAACATTCGTAAAATGCAAATTATAAACATCGGTAATGGTACTATTAAAAAATTATATAACTTAATAGGGTGAAAGTATCTTAATATTTTAACTTTTGTCGAATTTATATCCAGTTTTTCACTCCATTCATGTTTTGTAGTCTCTGTGAAAGTTAATTTGTTATTGGATTACGCCAATACCTTTTTTTAATATTATTCTATTTATCATTTATAAATCCCAAATTCTATCTTGTTTTGGTGATAAATAGACACAATTAATGCGTTTGGGTTATCTGGTAGTAAACGATTGGAATATATGACGCTATATTTAAAAACAATTAAAACTCTGTCATACAATTGTTACCTGTTGATACAGACTTTATATAAATAATGTAATAATTATTATACGTTAAAAGGTATAATAATTATTACAGTATTTCTCTCATAGTATTTGATAATGAAATCGTCTCAATTATACGGGTTCAAGTCGATTGCTAAGACACTGTTTTCCAATTTCAATATATTCAATATAATAAATTCTAAAAAATCATTAAACAACATGTTTTAAAAGGAAACAATGTAGTTAAAAATGACTGTGGTATCTTTATACTTCTTCATTTCTTTGAGCGAGTAGATTGTTATTCTATCTCTTTGTGAAGATTTTTAATATTCTGTAAAATCCAAAGTGACATGCACATTGCAGAAGTCATACATGAACTTACACATAGATTCAGAGCATTAGATCAAATTCCTACATCTACTTTCCTTTACAATTCTTACTGTAAGCAAACACGGGTTTAAAATATCAATAGTGTTAATTAAATTTTAAAAACAGTACTCCGATATTTTTGGTCTCTCGCCGATATTTAATTTTTAGAGCTATTTGATTTTTTACAATTAGTGTGCTAATATAAATGTACCTCAGTTTAACACATTAGGAATTGATGGAAAAAACGTTAATTATCACTAAAAAACAAAATTTTGTAATAAATCATTTGACACGATTAAAATTTTCGACGGATTGGCAGTTTTGTATACTGTTTATGTTTTTTTTTTTAATGTTAGGAACGTAATAATCTCGACTAAGTAGGTAGTAGACATGTGCCCGTAGTTGAACACTGAGTGTGGGTATTTATTTATTTGCGTCGTGGAGAAGGCGGATCGCACACCGCATCCCCCGAGCACAAGCCGCCCTCGAACCTCGAGCTCTTCCCGGGCGCTGGCAGCGTGCAGCGCTCCAACAACGGTAACACTACACAACACAGACTTCTGTAGCATTACTCAATACACAGGCTTCATCGTAATGAGTATACTAAGCTGATTATACAGTGATAATGTTCATGAAACTGAGCGACTGTCCCCAAAGTATACTATTTTATTCAATTTTTTTTCATACAATCCGCGCGGCCACTTGTTTAATTGTGAATGTTCTAAAAATTATTTTCATATTTCAACTATATTCCCTTATCATCATAGTTCAGTTTCATCAATAGTATTGTGTATGTTTCATTCAAATCAGTGTAAGCATTACGACTATATGAGCATTTTTGTAATTTACCGTAACACGACACGACATCGCAATATTTTATTATCGCGTTATAGTAGAGAAACAAAATGTATGAAGACATTCTTATTTTTTTAAAATACAAATGTATTTTCTATCGTCAATGTCGTAGAGGGAAAATTAAAAGCTTTTTCATGCAATTTATTGCTACAATATCGTGACGATAAAATAGTGTCGTTTCATGCCGTTATAGCGGTAAATTATAAAAGCAGACCGTACACCAATATTTTACTCTTGAACAAGCTGAAGGAAACTAAATTATAAAAGTATATATAATATGGCGCGTCAGAATAAATTTAATACCTGTCAATGTGTATTATTAAAAACAATGCTACAGTATTAAAACGTGTGAAACTTGGTGCCTTTGTAGATTTTTTATTCAATAGTTTATATACTTACATACATATTACCTGCAATATGTATGTTGTATCTATTGGATGTTATTTAAATATTGTTTATATTTATGTAGTCTTCAAAGTCTAGTTTTTAATTAGAATTAAAAACAAATATCGGTTTTAATGTTCCGATTTCATGCTTAAAAATATCTTCACTATAAACACTGAAGCTTCATTTAGAATTTATCGACCATGTTTTGTAGAAAATCATTACACAACCACGTAGGTAGTGTTTCTTATTTTAGTGTACACATTTTAAAAAGTATAGTGTCTCCTTTAATATGAAATGTAATAAAAGTTATAGACACTTATTATTAAGTATATTATTATTTAAAATAGTATGTTCTTATCTATCATGTTACTTATCAATTTCACAAACACATTACACAATACGGTACTTACTTTCTGCGACTTTTTGGGTTTTGTGTGATTTAAATATTTTTGTTTTAATGGACTTACTGGCTTTTACTCTTTGTAACACGTTTTTGTGAAATTATTGCGGTTGTTCATTAGTCATTTGCTGTGCATGTCATATTCACTACATTGCAATATTATAATATTTATTCTAGGGTTATATATTGATTTCATATTATGAAATCGTTTTCAATGGGCATGCTGCGATGTTTCATCTTAGTGCTTTAGAGTATATCATAAAATATTTTATCATGATTGTATCGTTCAAAGAAATCACGCCGCTGATAAACACCCATTAAACAATAATACTTAAATTGTATTGTGATGATTATGTACTTTCTACTTGTTATTAGTTTAAAAATCTATGATAAAAACTGATATTTAATTATCGCAATACAAATCAAACTGCTACTGCATTTATAGTAATTTAGTATCATCATCCATGCGTTAGGAATTAGTCACTGGACATTTCGTAAACATGGACTATTGATGTACTTATATTAGCTTAGTCTGGAACTACATTCAGATTTGGATTGTGTAAGAGACATGATGCAACGCAGACAGTCTTAAGTGGCACATAAAAAGGGTGTGCGCTTCCGCTCATTGTAAAACTATTCATTTATTTTTAAGATAATTTCAATTGTTATTACAAAAGGTTACACCGCCTGCACCTTGACTGTCTGCTGATGATGCTTAAATGTTATATACGATCAAATAACAAACCTTCACTAATATTCATCCTAATTTGATTCAGCATCGCCGCTGCCTTCGCCTATTAAATCCCCGGCGCGAACACCAGTGGTCCAAAATAAGGGCCCGTGCTGTACTGCTCTTTACGACTTCGAACCAGAAAATCAAGGAGAACTCGGATTCAAGGTACTGTACATTTTTAATACAACTTTCTCATTTGGTAACATAGTAGGAAGATAATATTTCGTCATTTTACATCCCCAGGATATCAAAGAGGTGACTAAAGGAGCAAAACACCTTATATTAGTGTAAGAGAAGGAAAACTCGAAATAAAATTCTATAATAAGTGGTCTGGTCAGTCTGGCAATAGTAGGATATATTATCCTCTTATGGGGAGAGATCATTTACTACCAATGGGATATTATTAGATTATAAGGTACGGATGCAGTTCGAAATGGCAAATAGTCTGACAGTCCACTTGATGCAAATTGATAACCGTCGCCCATACGAGGTTTGTCCGGAAAGTACGTATAAAAGTTTTTTAAAAATTTTATTTTACAATTATTCAGGTAAATCAATTTTATCCCCTTCAAAGTACTCCCCCTGTGACATAATGCACTTGTGCCAACGCCGTTTCCACTGTGAGAAGGCTCCTTGAAAGTCCTCTGGTTGTAGGTTTCTCAGCTGCCCCGTCGTAGCTTTTTTTATCTCATTTATGTCCCCCAAATGCCGCCCCCGAAGTACCAATTTGGTTTTTGGGAACAAGAAGAAGTCACACGGGGCCAAATCCGGCGAATAGGGGGGTGTTCGGTCACCGTAATGGAATTTTTACTCAAAAACTCACGGACAACAAGAGAGGTGTGGGCAGGGGCATTGTCGTGGTGAAGAATCCAACGCCCCTCTCGCGCCAATTCTGGACGAACTCGTGCCACACGAGCTTTGAGGCGTCTGAGCACATCGACGTAGAATTTTCCATCAACTGTCTGGCCTGTGTTCGTCGGAATGTGAAGTGGAAGGACGTCCTGAACGTGGGTCATCTTGAACGCTTTCTCGGCCCTCTCTGAATCTTTTTAGCCACTTGTGGACGGTTGGTTCCTTCACAGCATCATCCCCATAAACTGTTCTGAGATCGGCAAAAATTTCACGGCCATTCTTGCCGAGTTTCGAGAGAAACTTGATTACGACGCGCTGCTCTTCAACGGAAGCGGGCTCCATGCCGACGGGGTTTCGTTAAGAGGTAACTTCACAGATGGCGTGACAAGCCAGTTCGCACCGCACGGCGGTCAGACCAGAACTGAAGCATTGTTAGGGACATAAGGAAGGGGTCCTGCGCTTACCTGGCCTCCCCACTCCTCTTTCTCGCATTCCAGAACACTTTTATACGAACTTTCCGGACAGACCTCGTATATAGTCTTAATATTCTAGGCTTTACGAACAGTGCCAAGTAGACATCAGCGTAATCAATATCACGAAATACGTTGTGATACCCACCTACCTATATTAGCTCTTTATATAGCTATCTTTGAAGACGAAAATGTTTTTTATACCCCAAAGGTGGTGAACAAGCATACAGCCCGTCTAATGGTAAACGGTCACTGTAACCTATGGGCGCCTGCAGCACTAGAGGTGTCACGTGTGCATTACCAACCCTGAAGAAACCTTAATATATCCTTTTTAAAGAACCCCTTATTGTAGTTTTTAGGGAAAGCCTTGGCAGGGAGGTTCTTCAACAGCCTATGTTCAGTACCCAATTTTTTCAGTGTCAGATTCCTCTTTACTAATTGAAACAGCTATTCAGACGTAGCTTGGCAGCAGATATACAAGTGAAACAGCGATATTCTTGCCTTTTAATATTTTTCGTGTGGCATAAGCTGTAGCTTGTGATCCTTTTTTATGTTTACAGTATCTCAACTCCAATTGAAATATTATATTTTTTTATTTTAGGAAAACGACGTCATCACTCTTATCAATAAAGTGGACGAGAACTGGTTCGAAGGCTCTCTAAACGGAAAGACCGGCTACTTCCCCATCAGCTACGTTCAGGTCACGGTGCCCTTACCAAACATGTAAACCCGCTTACATAACATGTCACTCCCACCATAAACGTATTCACTCATTGCCCTATATATTGTAACACAACTTGCCTAAATGAAGGAAGTACGACATGTGTGCCAATGTGATTAATTAATTTAGTACTTATTTTACTATTTTAATTAATTTTATTAATCATTATCATGATCCATTTAAATAATGATATTTTAGTGTACGTTGGATCAAATCTGAACTGTCACTCTCTATTGGTGGATTCAAACCAATCAACCAAATCCTAGTTCTTCCTCAACTCTAATTTTCATTCAGTAGTGTGAATGCAGTTCACTTTCGGGAACAATTTTTTACTTTAAACGCACCTGGTTCAGAGTTGATCTGTACTCTATGATCTTTTAATCTAAATACACCTTAAAAATATCTGTTAAATACAGCTTTAATCTTGAGAGTGACATTTTAAGATTCATTCCAATGAAACATTATATATTTTATGTTATTTTGATATGGATGCTGTATCACCCAATGTGAGATAAATACATAATGGCTGCTAAATAGGTTTATGACTTGATCAATCGTATAAAATTTTCTTTATAAATAAATATAATTAGTTGTAAATTATAATATTTGATTGTTTTCTGCGAACATGTACATTCGTCTTCCTGAAGTTGTGTTACAAATTGTTATTACATCATGTTATGCAGTATTATGTAAACCATTTATATAATTTGAATTAAGTAATTGTGTCAGATGCTCAAGGATATAATTATGTATTTATTAGCGATTTTCAGAATTTGTTTTTTTTTAATCATATATCAGTTACTGAATTTAATTTTTTTGTAACAACAATCCCTGTCTATTCTAGTCTAAAATAAAAATTTAAAAATCTACTTAAATATCATATATTTATTTTATGCATTTGGTTTGCGTTTAAATTTCCTGAAATTTTTTTATTCATCAATGTGATCACGTAGCAACAAACATTATTGCCAAAATGATATCCACTTTGTTGATAATAAGCTAATTATGCAATTAGCTTATTTATCCTTCATTTTATTTCATTAAAATATAGCATTGCCATTTTAAGTATTTAGGTATGTTTGACATATTTTACGAATTACATTAATTTTACCGATATACACCGACTATAGTTTAATAATTATTATATAATGCTGACATTCCCAGAGCAACTATTAGGTTTTTAATTCAATTTTACAGTATAGATAGTTATAGTTATACCCGCAATATTCATTATATATCAATTGACATAATTATTATCGTTCTCATAGCTTTACTTTAGTGTTGAGGTGTTAGTTGGCCTCTTAGCTAGGTCAGTTAAAAGCTACGAGCGTCGTTAACGGAGGCCACCATCTGTCGCAATATTGAGTATGTTGGAAGTTCGTTGTCTCGTGGGGCAACATCAATTCTTAAAAGTGATATTTTGAAGTAATGTTTGTAAATTAGTTAAAATTTATTGTGGCTCTATTTTTGTAGATGTGCTGTCATCTTTGTATAGTATTTTCCCGAATAACGTATAATTAGTTTTATATATTCGTTATCTTCATTTTATCGATCACTAAATGGCACATTACGTAACGTTTATTAGGATTACAATGTAACACTAGTTAAACTAATGAGATTAGATTTTATAGTTATTATATCTTTGCGGGTAATTATTTATCTAAATGGAAAATGTATACAAAATAAATTATATACACATAATGAAATGGAAATGATGAATTGTTGAAATCTTGCCAGAAATCTATGGCGTTTTGGTGTTTGATGTATTATTGGCATATTATAATAACATATTATAATATCATTGTGATAACATTAGGATATCGTACTGTTTGTGCAGTGCCCTATCGTATATTTTCAATTAAGCATTTTTTTTTATTTAGTCACTTTTAATTTAAGTAATTATTTTTTTATTATATCGCATAATATAATAGTCAGTCTATTCATTAATTAATTGCATAATATATAAATATATTAAATTATATTACATGGCCTCTTCAATAGCATCGTTAAAAAGTACTTTGTAATGCACTAAACTTTTAAAGTCATATTTCACTTATTACCTACATCGGTGTTGCAGTAATATTGAGAGTAATATAAAATAAAATCATTACGTCATTGATGTCGTAAATTAACGGACCCCATTGATCACGTTTCTGGCATACAAAAGACAATACCTAGATCTAATGTTAGTTGTATGTAAGTTCATAAATAATTGTTCTATCTTCAAGTGTCTCTTTAATGTAAGTATTTTGAGTAATTATTACAATCATCAGTGTTACGGAAGCGTAATAATGTTTCAGTGTTTTAATGTACGATGCTGCAATTTGGGTTATATAAAAACTATCGTGCAAACCCACTCAGCAGTATCATATCGTTACAATTTCTCATTATACGAACAACTTAATCTGACCTCGAAGAGTTAACACTGTCAAGAAGATTGGATAGACTGTTGTTAAGTATCATTTAAGTATATATAAATGTGACAGTAAGTACGTTTGGTGAGTGCGCTTACATCACGTGGCAAGGAAAGAGGACCTATTTTGTAGTGGCCCTATGTTGGGTTGTTTCAGTGTTGCTTTTCATCATGCCTGTGTGAACTAAATTATTTGGATATGTATGATGCCTTCTTGTAAAATCTGCTAAACAGACATAGCGCTCTTACAGATGATAGTCATTGGAAAACTAATTTGGCGGTCGTCCCTATTAACACCTGACGCAGGAGTCAGTTCTGAGGCATTATTCTCTAAACCTATTTCTAAAACTAATATTTTAATTACTTTCACGAAAATACTATTTTAAACCATTGTAAACTAAGTTTACAGTAATTGTGACTTAAAGCAATCATAAACTTAGTCCATAATAGTGCTTAGAATAATTATTTGGCTGTGATATCAAATTTGAAAATTTAATTCTAGAAATAGCATTAGAGAATGGTGTCTTAAAATCGACCTCTATGTTGCGCTGTTTGGTGCTCCTACAGTTGAACTTTGATGCTGTGAACTTGTTGACGGTATTCTATTTAGTTGTCGGCATGTGTTGATAGCTGCCGCCAATAGCTACTGTCGGGTGCCAATCGACGCGTGTTGACTCTACCCCAAACTGTCTTCGATACTCTGTTAACTAAAAGAGTGCTTACACTAAGTTCTTTTTGAAGGCCGAAGACGAACGACATTATATTTATCCAAATTCTAACAAATCACACGTCAGTAAAGTGTATCTATTAACTATATCGGCTCATAAAATACTTTGCTGTCTGTGCGAAATTGTCTGTTATAGTATATTATTCTTGTTCATGTTACTGTAATCTTAAATACTGTAATTTCATAGTTTAACTTGAGAATTTACGAGATGTAATACAAATATTGATTTGTATTAAAATTTATCCCAAAACTTATTGCTCGTTTTCGCCTCCTAATAAAATGTTAACAATTAAACACTACTTAATTGTTGTTTTATTTTTCACATTTCTATACGTAATCAATCTATTATTAAAGCACTAAAGATATAGTTACTACAGCATGGGGTTCTTCAAAAGGGGGGTAAAGAGGTTTCTTCAGGGTCGGCAACGCGCGCGTAATACCTCTGGTATTGTAGGCGTTCATAGGCTACGGTAACCGCTTACCATCAGGTGGGCCGTATGTTTGTTTGCCACCTGTGGTATAAAAAAAAAGTTAGGTATTTTATAATTCTATTTTTATATACAAATACTTTCATTATAATGTACTAGTTTTTTGGCTTAATTTATATACGAGGGATTCGAAAAAGGAAAACAGGATGCAGTAGTTTTGCGGCTTATTTCATTGCTTGTTCTACTTCCAAAATCCACGTGTACAAAGCTAAAATTAAGTAAATAAATAAATGGTAAATGAGGATATCAACATAGCACATCTTGAGTGTAATATTGGTCACAACGGCTATAACGAATATTTTGAAACTAAGGCGTGACCTTTATTTTGTAAAATGATTTATTTTTTAACTGATTCATGAAATACTTGTTTTAGTTTTATTAAACATGTAAACACTGAAGTCCAATTTAATATGTAAGTAAAAAAATAAATTTTGTTTCACAAATAATTTAAAACTGTTCTAAAAAAGGAATCTATTTCAATTGTGGCAAAACCAATTATTTTGATTTAAAAACTACTGAACCGATTTTGATAAAATTTCTATTTCCATAGAAAAAAAACTGGTCCTCCAGTTTTTCTTTATCCTTTCAGATAAAAAAAAATATAAATCGATTTTTAACTGATAGAGATAACAAAAAAAAAAAAAAGAAAAACCGAATTAATTACCTTCTTTTTGATATTTAAAAAAAACAATTTCAATTCAAGCAAAACCAGTTATTTTTATTTAATAACCATACTAGTCAATAGATTTTAATAAAATTTCTATGAAAATAATAATCTTAGAGTAGGTATATGGTTTAAAATAAAAATTCCAAATAAGTTCTTAAATGATAGGAATTCTGAAGTAACAAAACACAACCGAATTTTAAACCTACTTTTTTGAAGTCAAACATTAAAGAATTTATTTTACCTAACTTAGAATGGCAAACAAGGCGACAGCCTACCTGACAAGAAGTAGTAATGGTCCCCTATAGACATGATCAGTAAACGGGCATACTGAGTATACTGTCGCCCATATGTTAAATTATTAAAATATTTGCTACTTGTCAGATAGATAGGAACCCTAAATAAAGGAGTAAGAATACACAAATTAAAGTGGAAGATATTTAATCAAGCTATGGTTCATTTACTATAGTACAGAACAAGGAATGTTTGCTAGGTATGAACCCTAAATAAATAAGCAAGAACACACAAATTAAAGTAGAAGATATTTAATCAAGCTAATGGTTCATTTAGTATAGAAAAAGGAATGATTACAATTGACGAGAAATTTTGAATGTTTAATACTTTATCAGAATTTATGAATGAAACATATTTAATACTGGACCGCATATAAATCAATAGCCACCGCGAAGACGAAGAACCAAGTGCAAAGTAGATTCTTTTTGAATATTGTAATCGGACAGTGTTCTTCCATCTTCAAGCTGTTTACCAGCAAAAATAAGTCGTTGTTGATCAGGGGGAATACCCTCCTTGTCTTGAATTTTAGCTTTAACATTTTCTATGGTGTCAGATGGTTCAACCTCCAATGTTATAGTTTTCCCAGTCAAAGTTTTAACAAAAATCTGCATACCACCTCGCAAACGAAGAACTAAATGCAATGTTGACTCTTTTTGAATATTATAGTCGGAGAGAGTACGGCCGTCCTCCAGTTGTTTACCAGCAAAGATCAAACGTTGTTGATCTGGGGGAATACCTTCCTTATCCTGGATCTTGGCTTTGACATTTTCAATAGTGTCAGAAGGCTCAACTTCGAGGGTAATGGTTTTACCCGTAAGGGTTTTCACGAAGATCTGCATACCACCGCGGAGACGGAGTACCAAATGTAGGGTTGATTCTTTTTGGATGTTATAATCGGACAAGGTGCGTCCATCCTCCAATTGTTTACCCGCGAAAATCAAACGCTGTTGGTCAGGGGGAATACCTTCTTTATCCTGAATCTTGGCCTTCACATTCTCAATGGTGTCTGAGGGTTCCACTTCCAAAGTGATGGTCTTTCCAGTAAGAGTCTTCACGAAGATCTGCATACCACCGCGGAGACGAAGTACCAAATGCAGAGTCGATTCCTTTTGAATGTTGTAGTCGGACAAGGTGCGTCCATCTTCTAACTGCTTGCCGGCGAAGATCAGACGTTGTTGGTCTGGAGGAATGCCCTCTTTGTCTTGAATTTTAGCTTTAACATTTTCAATGGTATCAGAGGGCTCCACTTCCAGAGTAATAGTTTTGCCAGTAAGTGTTTTGACGAAGATTTGCATGCCACCACGAAGACGTAAGACCAAGTGTAGAGTAGATTCCTTTTGAATGTTATAGTCAGATAAAGTACGGCCATCTTCCAACTGCTTGCCAGCAAAGATTAGACGTTGTTGGTCTGGAGGGATGCCCTCTTTGTCTTGAATCTTGGCTTTAACATTTTCAATGGTATCAGAGGGTTCCACTTCCAAAGTAATAGTTTTACCAGTAAGTGTTTTAACGAAGATCTGCATGCCACCACGAAGACGTAAAACCAAGTGTAGAGTAGATTCCTTTTGAATGTTATAGTCAGATAAGGTACGGCCATCTTCCAATTGCTTGCCAGCAAATATTAGACGTTGTTGGTCTGGAGGGATGCCCTCTTTATCTTGAATCTTGGCTTTAACATTTTCAATGGTATCAGAGGGTTCCACTTCCAAAGTAATAGTTTTGCCAGTAAGTGTTTTTACGAAGATTTGCATGCCACCACGAAGACGGAGTACAAGGTGAAGGGTGGATTCTTTTTGAATGTTATAGTCTGATAAGGTGCGGCCATCTTCTAACTGTTTGCCAGCAAATATTAAACGTTGTTGATCTGGAGGAATCCCCTCTTTATCTTGAATCTTAGCTTTAACATTTTCAATGGTATCTGAAGGCTCCACTTCCAGTGTAATAGTTTTGCCAGTAAGTGTTTTAACGAAGATTTGCATGCCACCACGAAGACGGAGTACAAGATGGAGGGTGGATTCCTTTTGAATATTATAGTCTGATAAGGTGCGGCCATCTTCCAACTGTTTACCAGCAAAGATCAAACGCTGTTGATCTGGAGGGATTCCTTCTTTGTCCTGAATCTTCGCCTTAACATTCTCAATGGTGTCTGAAGGTTCAACTTCTAAAGTGATGGTTTTGCCTGTAAAGGTTTTGACAAAAATTTGCATACCACCACGGAGACGTAAGACCAAGTGAAGAGTAGATTCCTTTTGGATATTATAATCAGATAGTGTACGTCCATCTTCTAATTGCTTTCCAGCAAAGATCAGTCGTTGCTGATCTGGGGGAATACCTTCTTTATCTTGAATTTTAGCTTTTACGTTTTCGATGGTATCTGAAGGTTCGACCTCCAAAGTAATGGTTTTTCCCGTTAAAGTTTTCACAAAGATCTGCATTTTGTCGTCTGCAACAATGAAATACTATCTGTAGTAAAAGGAAACTTTCAATTTAGATGTGTGAACAAGGGATTTTGTAAACAGTGAAAGCCAAAGGATAAAGAAAATTCCAGATATCAAAATGGCGTCGGCCATGAATAAATAATGACAAATCATTCGAAACTGCGTAACATAAAAACGTGGCATTAAAAAGGAATAAATAACTCACCAGTATTCTTAACCGTAATATATGGTGATATTTAAAAGAAAATTGGTAAATAATTTAAAAATAACACTGATAAATTATTTTAAGAATATTCGAAAAGGGCAGCAATATCAAAATTAAATCTTTGGTACGCAGGCAGTAAACACAGTAATAAACGCGAGAATCGATAATAAACAATACAAAAAATATACAAGTCGAAGACTATATATTTTCTTATATTTTTAATATAGGCAACATACTTCTTTAACGTCAAGATTTTTTTTTTTTAATCGGTAAAGGGCTAATGTTGACAATTATTCCTCTAAACAGGAAACAAGACGGGATATTAAAAAGGAATGGTAAGGATTTTAGGAATTTTGATATTGGTGAGATTAATAGTTTGATATTATTATGAGAAATAAGGAAGCTATGGAGTTATAGATCAAAGAGTTAGAATGCGCTAATAAATATAAAATGGTTGTAGGAAAAAAATTTAAAAATGAAATAATGAATGAATGAGGAATTATCATATAAGAAGCAAGAAAAGAACAAAAATTTAAAAGAAAAAAAAAATGGCTTAGATCGTCTACATCTTTACCACAATCACAGATTAATAAAACCCATAGATAGTACCCTCAGAATAAGGAATTACATAAAAGGAATTATAAAATATAAATAGTAAATCACATGGTTTCTTTTTGTTCTTCTTATGCTAATATCATTAACAAAGTGAAATATACTATCAGTTACTCTTTTTCTCAATTATTAGCAGGCTAGTGACTTTGTGACATTCCCTTTCTAACTACTATAGTCTATCGTAATACCAATGTATCGTTATTTTTAGTTGAATTAAACCAATATTTCCCCATGGTCTATATCGTTTTGTATCAATAGGGTTACCAGATTAAAAAATATTTTTAAATTAAGGTAAATAGATAAAGGTCGTAACTTAAAATATTATAGATAGATAGATAGATAGATATTCAGTATTGTTTCCTCCAAAATATTACAATAGTATATTATTTATTTATTAATAATCAAGTATAGATAAAGAATAAGAATACGGTTGTAGATAGAACTTTAAAATTCGTTTTATTGTTTTAAAAATTAGTAAAATGTTGAAGGGAAGTTTAAAAATCGCTATTTGTGAATTCATATATACTTTAAATATGGACGGATAATGTCACTCAAAGTAATTGCCATTTTAATTTCCTTATACTTAACCTATTTCTTTAAAAACAAATGTCTTAGAATCTTCATAGACTTGAATTAATTGAAGTGGGAATGAAAAATATGAGTTATTTGATTATAAGTAAATTGGCTAAATGTAAAAAATATCGTGTTGCATTTTAAGTTTAAATTCTTAATGGTGCTTTGTTAATCCTTATCCAAATAAACATGGTACTACAGTCTCTCCAGCGGTACCAGCTTGACTATAGATATATTAAAGTATTGAAGTGTAGGTACATTACGGCTACGATGTCTATCTGAGTACAGAACCAGAGTATGAAACCCATCGCAGTGTCAAATAAAATAGAGTGACGTCATATTCCTGAAACTCTTTGCAGCTGCATTGGAAAATGTTTTTAAATTCTTGGACTGGAAAAGATATGGTATAAACATTAATAGCGAAGACGTCACTCACCTTCGATTTGCCGATAACATAGTAATCATGGCAGAATCCCTGAAGAATTTGAATTGATAGAAATAAGTTCATTTTCATATAGATATAAACTACTGGCCGGTTGTAATTTAAAAAAGATATAGTTTTTAAATTGACACACTCTTAAAAACAATTTTTGCTTTCTGTATCTTGTGTTAGATTTTATCGTACTTTTATATTGTGTTTATCCTATCCCCTTCTACTACGGAAATATTAGCTGATATTTCAAGCTAAATACCAACATAATTTTTTTTATACAACTTAGAATGGCAAACAAGCTGATGGAAAGTGGTAACCGTCGCCTATATACTGTTTCGCCCATGATACCCCCATGCGTTGTCATTCCTGAGGACTCAGATGTTATTCCTCTGTACCTGAAGTTTAGAACTTCGCAAAGGTAGACGCAGTGGATTATAAGATCATTCATGCACTCTGAAGCGTTTAACTTAATAATTAAAAAGAGATAAAATTTAAACAACTTTATTTTCTATGTCTCAAAATCAACAAGGACAGTAGTCATGGAAACTAGAACTAATTTACCAAGATAAGTCACATCACTAACATAGATCAAGTAATAGTATTTATGATCTCAAAAATACCTATCTATTACAGTACCCAATAAATTCACGCCATATCCCACCCTTCAAATCGAAACACAGCCAAGCAAACACAGCTGCGGTTGAAACACGAATGGGACAGAGATACCCAAGCAATCGACTTTTGTACAAAGTCTCCTTCTGGTAATGGAATACTGTGGTCAATGTGCTTCTCAACAAGTAGGTCTTAAGATGAACACGGACAAGACTAAAATCATGTTTAAAATCCATGTTACACCGGTCTATGTCTGTCCATGTCCTATACCGGTTATGATTGAGAACATTACGCTTGAAGTTGTCGACGAGTATGTATACCTGTAAACAATATATGAATATATTTGTTCAAGGGCAAAGGAATTGTTAGTAATGAGGTTTAACTGATTCATTGATGTCAATACATCATCTCAGGTCAACCTCCACGTGGTTCCGCCTGGAAACCATCACGGTTAATTCTTATTCAATGCATCATGGTGAGCCAACAGACCTGTATTTATTCTCACCTATCATCTTCCACTAATGTCTCGTCGGTGTATACCGATATAGCCGACGAGGTGGATTACTATTCCATTTTCATCCATTTAAAAACAACAATCCCTTTCTTCCTAATGTCATAATAGGAATAGTAAGCCACAGTCCTATATATTCTACTCTGTGGTCTGTCGTATCTATGGTTCGACATCTATTTATAATCTGTGTTAAACTGTGTAGTTATGAATGGGGGCGTATCATCATTGTAACTAAATCTTAATCTTTTAAATATATTTCATTTGTTTAGTGAAAACAAATTAATACTTTTATGATTTAGGATGAAGATTTATTTTTACATTATTTTATATTTCCGTTTTAATAATTATAACTATTTTCAATATCTTTCATACTAATTTTGATAAATATTTTTTTGTATATTTTGTAAACACGGTGGTGAATATTTTTGAATTTAAATGAATTTTACTCTAAGTATGAGTCACGGAGTTGAATAATATTGTAACAAAATTGATAAATATATCGTAATATATAATAATAAAAAATGGCTGATATGATTCGTGGGATGGGGGCCCCAATTGGACCCCCAGTAAAGGATAAGTTGGGTTCGCCTTCCACCGAGTCTGAAGAAGGAGGTGGTGATTTAGCAGAACTTGCTGCAGATCTTGAATTAGATGAAGCTGATGGGCCCAGTACTAATGGTCAGTAATTTTGTTGTATCCAAAATTTAAGCAGGTATAAACGAATCCATGATCCGTAAATTATGATTTAATACTTGGTAATAATGAAGCATTATTCTGTACATTAAAAAAAAATTCTATTACATGAAAATAATTATTCTAAAGACCAGTATAAACAATTATTTTAGAAGAATTTCTTTACGTTCAGTTCTTGATGATATAATTGGTCCATTGTTAATTATTTTTATAATTCATATAATTGAAGTTGTGGAGATGTTAATTTGATACTTAAATTATTGTCTTAATAGCTTGTATGTTATAGGTAGTTTCTTAGTTTTAAATATTGCTAACAATCACAATTTCACCTTGTATTTACACACTATATTAAAACCTAAGGTTTGGTATTAAATTTCTATATTTACTATGTATTCACTTAAATTTTTTTCTTACCATGCATATCTACATTATTTTTGTTGTACCCATGTGAGAGTCACTAAACACTATCAATCTTGAAAAGTAAGGTGTTATTAGTGGCCTAGTAATTTTATGACTCTTTTAACAGAAACAATCATATAAGCCTAACTGCATTAGGCAGCAGAATAATGAGTTTGAGAGTGATATCCAAGAAGACAGTTTTGTACAGTCATTCTTTGTTATATTTTTTCCTAGTGTTTAATGCCTAATATTAAATACAAAAAATAAGTTTAATAGCAGCAATAACAACACTAAAATGTAGAAGAATTTATATGTACTCTGATATTGTAATTGCTAGATGTATGTATTAATTTTTTAGTCCTCAAACTAGGTTATTCTTTGTTGCCTAATACCTGTTTTATTTATATTTGTTTTATTACATTATTAGCTTAAAGTATAATATTTTTAAGTACTTTAATAGATTTATTATGTAGCCCTCTGTATTTATTTGTCATATAAGCTCATTTTAATTTTATCTGTATATATTTATTAGAAATTATATAATAATTTACTATATATATATTATGTACAATAGTGTATTCCAATTTTTTCAATTTATAAATTATATAATAATTAAAAGAGAACTGTTGTATTTCTTGTAGATTCTTCTCAACAGATAAAAATATTCTAAACCAAGTAGTAGAATAGTAAAAAGTTACAATGTGAAAGTTCTTGAGATTAAGTTTATTTAAATAAAGATTATTTTTATATTATCTTGCTTCAGTTTTTGTCATTATACTCCATAAAGCTTCAGCAATAACATTAACTACCTTTTTTCCCCATTACTTTTTTTTTATAATATTGTACTAGTATACAGATAATTATAGAAATAAAAGACAAATTAGATTGATTATATTGCATAAGTTCTGCATATATATTTTATCAGGTGAACGGCAAGCAGTGCTTGCACCCCCAGAAACTGAATGGTATCATGGCCGATTGGACAGATATACCTCTGAAGAAAGATTATGGGCTGCTGGAAAACTGGGAAGTTACTTAGGTATATGAATGTGTTAATTATATTACATTATTTCAATTGTAACTTTAACACTTTTTTGTTATAATACTACTTAATACTAATATTTCAATGGGTATTTTAATTTCAAGTTTTCCAATAGTTATTGGATAGTGAAGGGGGGGGGTGGATGTTACCGAAGGGGGGGGCAGCAATAACGACTTACCATGTGCAGGGGGTTGATGCAAGCAGGTGGCTCAGCACTGATCCTTATGACAGTCCATAGAAGAAGTCCCTATGTTCAGCTGTGGTGAATAAATTATAGCTGAATAAATATTAATGATGGAGCTGTAAATAATTGCTAGATATTTTAAAACACTTTTCACCATATTTTTAATGTTGTAAGTAGTAAGATCCAGTCATTACAAGACAATAATGTAATTAATAGTTTAACATTTCCCATGGCTTTTTATGGGTATGTGTTGTAATTTTATGTACAAAAGTGAGATTTTTCCACGAGGGCTCAACATTGTTGAATTCACAAGTAATTAAAATACGTAAAAAGTTATAAATGCTACCTTTATTTTCTTTTCATGTTAAGACTATATAATTAAATAATACTTGTTCTTTGTTTATTCTGAAAAGAAATCAGGTGGTCTACCATGAAATGAAATTCCGAAATTTCGGGCTCAATTTCGTGTTTTTGTTCGTATCAAAATCGACCCAGTAAATGGAGCTTAACATTTCGTTCATCATAAATCCTATTCTAATAGTCCAAAGGAACGATATTTTAACATTTTTAATAATTTTAAACAGCATGTGTTATGTAATTTTAACATCAAATTTCTGTTTCGTTCGTCTCCGTAATTTCGGAAAAGATTTCATGGTAGGTCCTCAGCCTTCTGCATCGTGTTCTATAAATGGTCAAAAAATTCTTTGTTCTCCTCCATTTGTTTTCGGTACTCTTAATTAGCTTGAATTAAAATATCCCTTGTGTTCCTTAACACACCAGAGGGAGACTTTGTACAAAAGTCGATTGCTTGGGTACCTCTGTCGCATTCGTGTTTCAACCGTGAAGCAGTTGTGTTTGCATGGCTGTGTTTCAGTTTGAAGGGTGGGATATGGCGTGAATTTACTGGGTACAGAGGAATAACACCTGAGTCCGCAGAAATGGCAACGCATGGGGGGTATCATGGGCGAAACAGTATACTCTGTTATGTCCATGGTACTGCTCATGTCTATAGTCGACGGTTACTACTTTCCATCAGGTGGGCCGTCAGCTTGTTTGCCATTCTAAGTTCTATAAAAAAAAAAAAACACTTATTATTACATACAAGAGATTGTTCATTAGTATATTAAAATTTAATGAGTAACAACCTGGAACTTTTACAACATCTTTTTCTTTACCTTGTAGTTCGGGAAAGTGATAGAAAGCCAGGGTCATATGTGCTGAGTTACTTGGGTCGCACTGGAATGAACCACTTCAGGTATATTTTTTATATATCATTATGATTACCGTATGTTAAGTTTCACTAGTTAACTAAGAACTTTAAGGTCTTAGCCTAGTTTTCTGTTCAACTGAATATGTATTTTTTATGTGTACGAGACAGAGAAAGGAAAAATGGTCCCTGTGTGTAGTCTATTCAGAACAGAATATATATATATATATATATATATATATATATATATATATATATATATATGGAAATTTTAATGTAAGTGAAGTAATATATTAGATGATTTCCGCAACTTCGTGTCATTTTTATGTATGATCCATCCTTGGCATGAAATATAAGATAGGCAGATAAACTAATATCTGTCTTAATTTCATGCATAACAGTAGCATTTTAGACATATTTACCAAATGACAAATATTTAAGCAATTATTATTTTAATTCTTAGAATAACAGCAGTGTGTGGCGACTATTATATCGGTGGTCGTCAGTTTGATTCGCTGGCAGAGTTGGTTGGCTTTTACAGTCATTGTTCCGATTTGTTGAAACGAGAGCGACTAGTCGAGCCTGTTCCACCTCCCGAACCGGTTAATGATAAAAAGGTAGGTAATTGTAGATGCAACTTTATAAAAATTCAGTTCATTTGTTCAAATAAATCTTGTGGCTGAAATACTTCCATGCCGCAAACTATAAAATGTTTCAGTTTATGAAATATATTTTTTTATTTCACGTCATGCTATTTTAGAAAATTGATTTCTGTAAATTGGGTTGATACTGGTTGAGGCTCAAAATGTTTGCTAAATCTATTAGTAGGATGATACTAGTAGTTAGTTTGAAAATTATTTGACGCTAAATATTCACTTACGGTTTACAATTTTATGCTCTTATATTTTTATATATATATATATATATTATTAATTAAAAACAAAAAATAAATTATAAACGTGCAGGAATTTCAGGGTGATCACCAACTTATGTCTTAACAAAATACGAGACAAGCACAGATACAAAACTTAACGATTGCAAAAAATAAACCGGAATCATTTCAGTATTAACCATCTCGTTATCTTTTGTATAAAGTAATAATTATTGAACTTTGATTGCAGAGAGTTGTAGCAATACTACCATATACCAAAATGCCGGATACTGATGAGCTTACATTCCAAAAGGGCGATATATTTTTTGTTCACAACGATATGGGAGATGGTTGGCTGTGGGTCACAGCACACAGGTAACGTATATTAATAATAAATTTGACAGATCTAGATATATATTACTTATTTCAATGTTATAAATGTTATTTATTACCGGTGAATCCCCTGCATAATACTTTTTTATTTAAATTTTATTTAGAAATTTCGAATCGAAACTTAGAGTATATGTTTAGTGTCTTAGGTTAAAAAATGGACGCACAAAATACCTGATGTGATGGTATATTTTTAAATATCTATGGTCTGGTTTGATGGTAAGTGGTTACCGAAATCTATGGACACCTGCAATACTAAAGGCAGTGCGTGTCTTATAATGTTAACTTCGAGTTTCTAATTGCTCATTGTTTGAATTACTTTGAAACCATGTTACCGAATTATAGTGATCGGCAGGCGCGATAAAATTTTAATATTCTACTGGCGGAAAATTAGTAAACCTGCCACTGGCAAACGTATTAAAAAATAATACAGAATATAAAATGGCCATTTGACCAAGTTGCCAATAATATAGTTCTATAAAAAAAGTACGAATTTTAATTTAGAATGGCTAAAAAAGTTTTATCAGGGTCGGCAGAATGGTACTCATTACCGATAACATTTCTAATGTGGCAGTCATCTATAGGCTTGGTAAAAAAAAAAAATCATGAGACGGCGCCTTTAACTGCTTAAAAGAAAAAAAAATACTAACATTTATCTGAATTATTAGTAAGTATACATATTACAGTAACATTATTAACAACTGCGTTTAGAGTTATTCAAGGCAACAGTTATCAAATCAGTATTTTCCTGTAGCTTTATTAATTAATAACTTTGGATTTCACTGTACTGTATTGTATTAATAAATTAGTCATTGTTAACATCTCGCCTTGGCTTCAAAATATTTCCGTTGTTGGATATGCCTTTTAATATTTATAATATATGTAATAAAATGTATGTATTTATTAACGATTGTTATCGTGGATAAACATTTGAGATTTGTTGTTATTGGGAATATAACACTCGACATGCCTTTTTGTCTACATTTCACTAACCAATATTTAAATATAATGGACTAGGGGACGCCTACCGGTGACTTTCAGGTTGTTCTCAATTCGTTTGTTAACATTGTTTATTTACTATGATCGAAGAGCGATGAGTAAAAATTTTATGTATAAAAAAAAGATATTAATTTTTTTATTGCCGGCCAGATTTAAACTCACAACTTTTTAAGTCTACAAATCAAGATACTAAACTACTAACCACGCTACTCTTACTACTCTTTGTTCTCGTAGTAATATTTATGTATTATTGTTGTCAATAACACAATATTCATAATCAAATAGGATATATAAAACTGTGTAAATAAATTGCGTTTTATATGTTATTCTAAATCTACAGCTACTTTCATTATGCCTATTCTAATAAAAATAATTAAGAAATTCTCGAAGTACTGTCACACAACAATTAACATATTTTTAGACAATGTCTTTGTTCTAGAAAGGTTCAATTACGTAGTGTTATAGAGTCTCTAATCTAGAATTATTTTATCTAACCTCAAATATTGGCAGATAATAGGAATAGAAAAAATACACAAAGCTATCTTATCTGTATTTTTATTGGATGATAATGGAATGGTAACTTCGCCTGCGCTAGCGGTATATGTTGGTGGGGTACCAGTGAGGGATGATTAGTGAGGATGAAAAGTCAGGTTAGTTAGCCCATCGTAATTAACACATCTGGAGTTCAGCATGTTGATTTCCAGGGGGACCACTTTGATGTCCACCTGACAGGGTATATTGCTAGCAATGGCACAGATAGTTCTCATTATATATATGATGAGTTAGTAGTTTTAATAGGAATTAATATTTTATTGAAACATCTATAAAAGCCTAACAGCGGTTGCCAACCCGCTTGCCAATCGTGGCAACTACTAGCTAAACTCCCCGTATGAGGTAGGTTTATGTTCAGCACTGGACAGTTAATAGCTGAAATAATAATAAATTAACAGTTTATTTGTAATCATTTACTTATAATTTTAATACTGTTTGTTTTGTTAACTCCCTCTTAATTTGCATTTGATGGTGCGATAGTGTGCTCGCTAATAGTCTAATCGCTATACTATCAAAATCGTCTATCTTTACGCCAGGTTCCTTACGGAAAAGGCGCAGAGAAGGCCTTGTTAGCAAACAATATTTTTTATTTCTTTTAACCTGATATTATCTTATTATCCAGAACGGGGGAACAAGGAATGATCTTCAGGGAGTTAGTCGAAGATCTCGACCCATCAATCGATCCGAACACGGTGTTCTCATGGTTTCATCCGAATTGCACCAAGAGTGAAGCCGTAGATATGCTAGTCAAGGCTGGTCCAGGAAGCTTCCTCGTAAGACCTTCGGATAACTCTCCCGGAGATTACTCCCTATTCTTCCACATTAATAATCAGATACAAAGATTCAGGATAGAGAAGAAAGGCGTCAGGTATCTCATGGGAGGCAGGACATTTGAATGCTTGGATGCCGTCATAAACAGATACAGAAAAGAACAGATTGTTGAAGGGCACACCCTTGGTCAGCCAGTAAGTATCTTGATATTTTTTTCTTAGCCCTCGGTCTTAATATTAATTATATCCAGAAAGAGTTAAGAAATAGCCGTAAAAGTATTGTTAACAGTTCGGAAATAAGTCAAGATCTTAAAGTTTAATGATTGGCTCATATAATGTAATGTTTTTTTTTTAACTGTGGCGTCCTTAATAAGCCCTAAGACTGGGCGACTTAGTATACGTTTTCCTGTTCATTGTGCTTTCGTAAAAGGCGACTAAGTCTTAGTTCAGAGTAAATCCAGAGTATGAAAAATGAAAAAACACCATGTACTTTTACTGTCACCAGATGGACTGATGCTAAGCCTGTTCACTGTCAGTTACTAATTATCTATAACATCTGAAAAACGTAAACATTTATACACATATCTTAATAAGTTTAGTTATATTTACTTTATTATTCTTTATTTCTATATATGTTTACGCATCATCTTCAGTGGCATATTTTTCAACAGCTTATAGCGGAAGGCCATCAAATAGAACCACAACAAAACACAACCGGAGCAGCAGCTGAGAAGATTTACGCGACATTACGCGAGTGCCGAGATCAAATAGGACTCAAGAAGATGAAGGGCATAAAGCACCAAGGATATTTGAATAAGAAATCTGATAAAGGTGCTAAGAAATGGAAAGCCCTTTACTTCGTATTGCTGCAAGAGGGGACTGATACACATTTGTACTTTTATGATTCCCCCAAAAGAACAAAACCGAAGGGTTTGATTGATCTCTCATGTGCTTATCTCTACCAGGTATGGAGCTATATATTTAATTAAATACTTACATAATTGTTATTCTAATTTTGTTTGAGAGAAAAATGTCACTTTTTATAGTTTATTATATATTATCTTCCTAAAAGAAATTAGTTTCAAACGAGTATTCATTCTTTTATGAAAATGTACCGTCCCAATTCCTATTATGAATGAATTATGCACAAACTTGCTCCCTATTTTAGGTCCACGAGTCATTATGGGACCGCGAGTTCTGTTTCCAACTGGTAGAGCGTGCCTTACCGTGCCTGTCGACGCACACGTTTCTAGCCGCTAATTCTGCGAGCGAGGAGCGCGCCTGGCTAGAGGCTCTGCGGCCGCTTTGCGTACCGCAACAGGCGAGACACCAGTGCAAGGTTACTTTTTATATTATATAATTTGTGTAAATATTTGTATGATTATAGACAATAATTATGACTTATTCAAAAATTGATTATAGTTAATTTCTGGTATTTATACTTATCAGTTATTTTTTTGATTTGTTTTTTTTTTATATTAAGGGCTTTTAACTTCTTCAGGTATCAGACCTATCATACCCTTAATCGGTTTCTCAGAAAAGATTTTTTCTACTTTTCCTACTTACGGAAAGAAAGGAATTAATGGGTATCAATAATTTGTAAACATGTTTAAAAATTTTTGATTTGGGTTCAGCTAATATAGATTGATTAAGACTAATATTTAATTTATTTAGATATAATGGCGCATGAATTTCTATCTATCCATCCAGTTTATCTGACACTCTAATAGTATATATGTTGCACACTATCGATGGTATCATAAAGTTTACAATGGGGTTATCAGGACATTCTCATTAGTTAACGAAAAATATATTTTTGTGCAATTTAGTAAACGATTGCTTTGAGCTGGTTATTTTAAATCGCTATATTTACAAGTATAAACTGAGAATGTGTGTAGAAAGAATGTGTGTGTGTGTGTGTGTGTGTGTGTGTGTGTGTGTCTATTGTGAAGCGGTTGTATTTGCATGGCTGTGTTTAAGTTTGAAGGGTGGGATATGGCAGTCAATTTATAGGGTACAGAGGAATAACACTTGAGTGTATATAGGAATGGCTACGCATAGGGGGTATTATGGGCGAAACAGTATACTCTGTTAGCCTATGGTACTGCTCATGTCTCTAAGCGACGGTTACCACTTTCCATCAGGTGGGCCGTTAGCTTATTTGTATTTACAACTTAACGTAAACCTCTAACTTCATAATACACGTTCTTATAAAAAAGAACGTGTATTATGGAGTTAGAGACTTCCACGTTAAGTTGTAAATGTTGATTGGCGACTAACGTGGTGTGCGCGCTGGGTGTGCGCGTGCGGTGCAGGTGGCGCGCGTGGTGTGGCTGCGCGCGCTGCGCGTGCGCTGCCTGACGGCGCACCGGCTGCCCGCGCGCCTGGCGCCGCGCCCGCACCTGCGCCTCGCGCTCGGCGCCGCGCCAGTCGCGCGCACGCGCCCGCGGCCTTCGCCCGACCCGCACTGGGACGACGAGTTCGTCTTCGAGTAAGCCACCACCAGCAAACACTACACACTAGGGGGGAAAGGGATTGTTAATAATGGAGACTGAGAATCCCATTGCTAGCAATATACCCAACCAGGTCGACCTCCTCGCGGTTTCCCCTGGAAACTATCATGGTTAATTCCTGATGAATTCAACATGATGAGCTAACTGGCCTGTTTTCATTCTCATCTATCATCCTTCACTGGTGCTCCGCCAGCGTATCCCGTTAGCGCAGGCGGGGCTACCATATCATTTTCACCCATTAAAAAAAAACACTACACACTACACACTACAACAGAGGGAGACTTTGTACAAAGGTCAATTGCTTGTCTACCTTTTTTTTTACAAAACAGGGGGCAAACGAACATGCGGCTAACCTGATGGTAAGTGACTACCGCCGCCCATTGTCACCCACAACACTTAGGGCATTGCAGGTGTGCTGCCGACCTTTTAAAAAGGAATATGCTATTTTCTTGAAGGTTATGTTGTCGTATCGATTCAGAAATACTGCTGCTGGAAGTTGATTCCAAAGAGTAGTTGTGCGTGGGAGAAAGTGCCTTGAAAAACGCACGGCGAAGGACCGACACCTCTGTCCTATTCGTGTTTCTACCGTGAAGCAGTTGTGTTTGCATGGCTGTGTTGCGGTTTGAAGGGTGGGATATGGCGTGAATTTACAGGGTACAGAGGAATAACATCTGAGTCCGCAGAAATGGCAACGCATGGGGGGTATCATGGGCGAAACAGTATACTCTGTTATGTCCATGGTACTGCTCATATCTATAAGTGACAGTTATCACTTTCCATCAGGTGGGGCGTTAGCTTGTTTGCCATTCTAAGTAGTATAAAAAAAAATACTACATCTAGTACAGGTAGTCTATTATTGGGTATCTAAACTTACCTGACGGCGAATGAAAAGAATGAAAAATTGATATAATACAAAGATCGTTGTTGTGACCTTCTAGTAAGTGTTATCACCTGTATCAGCGGGTCATGCTCCTCCATAATCATGAAAATACAAATCGTAGTACCATAAAATTAAAATATAAACATTACATAGTATTAGTAATAAGCGAGTATATAAGCGAGTAAACGCAAACGCAAAGAACGGCGAATGCTGCAAATATCTTGGCCTGCCTTCCGAACTAACGTTTCCATTCTGAACGAACTGAAAATCAGAGAGAGATTATCGTCGATTGTTCAAATACGAATCCTCAAGCACTTCGACCATATCATCCGGAATAAAAACTGTATGAAAAGTCTAATTGTCCAAGGGTCGGTTCATTGTACAAGGCAAACGGTCTCGGGGTAGATCACCAACACAGTAGACTGATCTTATCAAAATTACCACACAGCAGTCTATTGTCGAATACTCTCGCTCGGCTGTGAGCAGAAATAAATAGAAACACATTGCGAAGACCTCAATCGCGAAGAAGGGCTTCATCGACGATCTACTATAATCATAAAACAAATCACGACCACTCTGTTAAGAGTGTACAACTGAAGAGAAACTTACCTAGAATTATGTAGCTCTGAATAAAATTAAAGCTTACATCAAAAAGATTACTAAGTAAAAATACTTAGGTTTCTGGTAAAGATCTAAAACCTTTACCATACAAAGATCTTTAATACTCTTTACAATTAGACAAATTGAGTGCTTGCTTCTCATCTTAGTTGTACAAAAAACCTTATAGAAATTTAATTATTTTTATTTAATTCCAGTGATGTGCCTCCAGATGTGACTTCATTCACTATTACAGTTCATAATACTGGGAAGAGAGGGAAAGAATCTGAGGTGAGTGTTTTATATATGACCAAAAAAATAAAGGTTCCACACTGCGTAACTAATAAGAAACATTCAAGTGTAATGTGAGGTTTTTCTTTTATGTGTTGCCTAATATATAAACATATTACAAAGTATTTTACTTTAGAAGGTTTTTTATAGCTGATATATTATTAAAACACTTGCTTTAAGTACTTTAGAAACACTTGAATATGACTAATCATTTGAATGCTACTATAATTTTTACTAAAACTCATTTGATTAAAGTTGATGCCCTCCTTACTGCCTTTAGTCTTTGTATTTTTTAAACATTATATCATATTGTTTTTAATTGGTTTAATTTAAATTCATATATTATTCATAGGTCGCAGAGTTGACAATAGAACTGGCAAATTTAGCCAACGGTGAAGAGACTGAGGAATGGTACCCTCTAGCAGGCATGACACCAATAGGAGAATGGGGTTCTTTAAGACTGCGTATTAGGTAAGCTGTAATAAAATCTATTTCTAAACAAAAACCAAGCAAATTTAATATAATTAAAATTTCGATTCGAAAATTGGGAGTTAAGTTTTTTGGTAGACACACTGTATCTTTCCATTTTCACACTGTGCAAACCTCCAATTTCTTTTTATATAAAGTTTGTGCAATTATTTCGTCACAATATATATTGCGATATAAAACAACACGAATTCTCTATAGGTATATGCAAGAGTTAGTAATGCCACGCGAAGAATACAATCCTCTCCGTCAGCTATTATTGGAACCTGGATTGCCTGCGGTCAAGGCTTTGGCAGATTTGTGCCGTACTGATAGACAGCCACTTGCAACTTGTAAGTTTTGTTACAGATAGTTTTTTTTTTTAAATGGATGATAATGGAATGGTAACCCCACCCGCTCTATCGGTATACACCGGCGGGGCACCAGTGAAGAATGATAGGTGAGGATGAAGTAGGTCAGTTAGCCCATCGTGACAAATTCAACAAGAAATGTTCACAATGGTTTCCAGGGGGAACCACGTGGAGGTCGACCTAATAAGGTATATTGCTAGCAATGGGGCTGTCAAACTCCATTGCTAACAATCCTTTTCCCCCCTGTTACAGATAGTTGATTATTACAACATACCTATTCATGTATGAGATTGGTTAATAATGTTCTTTTGTTACACTCATTCTATGTATAACTTATGGGTTTAATTTTATCTCTTACTGGTACATTAGATCACCGTTTTGAAATTTTCAGTAAGAAGAATAATTTTTATTCAAGTAAACTTAATTATAAAGCATTTTTAAATAGTTATTTATGATTCTATCTTACATATGCATATCATTTGTTTGTTTCATAAATTCGCAACCTTTGTATCAGTATTTTGGGATCGTCTTTAGTTTAACACGGTAAATAAAGTATTTAGTCAAGTAAACCATTAATTTGCTGTAAAGACCATGAGCCCGTGGGGTCCAGATACAAAGCATTTTTATTAGACGATAGCAATGCGCCTCATCAAGTTTACTGGTGACCCAAGAGCTGGTAATTACTTTGCGAAAAATATAAGTTTAGCAATCCAAAGAGGTAATGCTACCGGTATCTTGGTTACGCTGCCTCGATGTTTGTTTTTTATATAACTTAGAATGGAAAACAAGCTGACAGCCCATCTGATGGAAAGTGGTAACCGTCGCCTATAGACATGAGCAATACCAAGGACATAACACAGTATACTGTTTCGCCCATGATACCCCCCATGCGTTGCCATTCCTGAGGACTCAGATGTTATTTCTCTGTACCCTGTAAATTTACGCCATATCCCACCCTTCAAACCGAAACACAGCTATGCAAACAATTGCTTTACGGTTGAAACACGAATGGGACAGTGGTACCCAAGCAAACGACTTTTGTACAAAGTCTCCCTCTGGTGGTGTGTTGGGAGACTATTTATAATTAATTGTTATTGTATGATTAAAATAAATATATATCAGTAAAAAAAAAAACAAGAAATCAAATAAATATAATGCCATACTTTTAAAGAAAAAATATATTAAACTACACTATCGCCTACAGATTTAGCGGAATTTTAGTGTATTTAATTTCAATTTAATTTCAATTTATTTACTATATTTATTTTAGTTAATAAAGAGAGAATAAAGTTACGAAATCTTAATTATTCTTTCTTCCCGCTACATCCACAGTATACATTATATTTTACCAGCTCTCTTTTCCCCCTATATAAATCTTAAGTTACTAACGGATGCCTTGTTATCCATACTTAGCAATTTTGCACGCGTTCTCCGAATGCGGTCGCGGTGCGGAGCTAGCACGCGAGCTCGCCGGTGCGGAAGTGGCCCGCGAACCTGATCATCGCGCCATGTTCCGCGCGGCATCACTCGCCACCGCTGTCGTCGACCAGTTCATGCATATGCAGTGCAAGCCATTCCTCCAGGTAAACTTTTTTCAATATCATAAATATAGTAATGGTATACGAGTATCCCCTCATAATTATGTTTTGTTATATCTCGTGTCTGTATGCGTAATCCCTTACCCTTGCTGCTCACTCAGCATGTCCTCTACAACTGCCTATAGATATCGTTGTTCCCATCTTTTTCCTATACTACAATGTTGTAATTTTAATTTGTTTTAAATAAAAAAAAATATCAATAAATTTTTATAAGATTTTTTTTTATACTGTTGTGGTAGCAAACGAATATTCGGTCTGTCTGATGGTAAATAGGGTTACCGTAGTCTATGGAAATCTGTGGCACCAGGCATGTCAGGCGCGCGTTGCCGACTTATAAGAAACCTTATTACGCCCTTTTTAAATAATATATAAATTAAATAAATTAAAAACTCAAAAAAGATTAAATAAATTATGAAAAGCTTATTGAGCGAATTCGCTAAACGATTACTTAGAAGACGTAATTAGCATTATTTTGTACACCTATGTGAATTTTAACATTTTTAAAGTGTGGACTGAAACCAGATTCTAACAATAGTGTGTAATTACAGGCTGCGATAGCTGAAACTATTCAGAAATTAATAGATGCAAAGCAGTCCGCCGAGCTGAACCCCACGAAAATGGATTCGCCCGAAGACGCATGCAATAATGCTGAGTTTTTACTTATGATTCTCGATCAGGTAAAATTAGTTTTATTGTTTTCATTACTATCGTTTTTATCTTTCTTTCAGAATAATACTCTTAGCTTTGTATAGGTAAATTAAGTGTTAATACAATAATACAAGATGTGATAATGTGTGCCATGTTCTTATTAAACTTTTTAGTTGTTTAAACGTGATTAAGTAATAAATATGTGGATATTTTTGCACATTTTCATATTTATAATATTAATAAGATTTTTAAAATTGCATAACATTAAAAATTTATATATAGAGTAGTAGTAGTAAAAGACGATCAATTTTATACATATCAATAAATTCGTTATAATGTGTACGGTGTGTGATGTGCAGATCACGCTATCGATATTCACGTCGCCGGAGGCGTGCCCGCGGCCGCTGCGCTACCTGTGCGGCTGCCTGCAGCGCGCCGCCGTCGCCAAGTGGCCCAACGAGCGCTTCGTGCGCACCCGCGTCGTGTCCGGTAACTGCACGAACACCCACATCCGCCCTCATACTCATCCTCACACTCATCTCGCACTCATCCTCACACTCATCTCGCACTCATCCTCACACTCGTCTCACACTCATCCTCACACTCATCTTGCACTCATCCTCACACTCATCTCACACTCATCCTCACACTCGTCTCACACTCATCTCACACTCATCTCACACTCATCCTCACACTCATCCTCACACTCATCCTCACACTCATCTCGCACTCATCCTCACACTCGTCTCACACTCATCCTCACACTCGTCCTCACACTCATCTCACACTCATCCTCACACTCATCTCGCACTCATCCTCACACTCGTCTCACACTCATCCTCACACTCGTCTCACACTCATCTCACACTCATCTCACACTCATCCTCACACTCATCTCGCACTCATCCTCACACTCGTCTCACACTCATCCTCACACTCGTCTCACACTCATCTCACACTCATCCTCACACTCATCTCGCACTCATCCTCACACTCGTCTCACACTCATCCTCACACTCATCTCACACTCATCCTCACACTCATCTCGCACTCATCCTCACACTCGTCTCACACTCATCCTCACACTCATCTCGCACTCATCCTCACACTCATCTCACACTCATCCTCACACTCGTCTCACATTCATCTCACACTCATCCTCACACTCATCCTCACACTCATCTCACACTCATACTCACACTCCGCAGCCAATTACAATGATGAAAATATATTTCACATTCAAAAGAAACAACCAAAGAAGTTAGTAGTGTAATCTAAATGTCACCGAGAAATACATTTACATTACATACTTTATCAACTATTGTCACTAACTATATTCACATTGATATATCGCTGCTATTACCTCCCTATATTTTCATTCGCTTTTTCAAAACTAAAAAGTAGGGGCAGTAGGGCTAGGTAATATTGTAAACTGTATGCTACTTGCATTTGTACCGTGTAATTACTGTAAAATACCAGTATAAGAGAAAAGAACTAGACATAATGAAGTCGCTTAGTCAGCGTATTAATATAATTATAGCATATAATTAAAAATTCTTTTATTAAATAAGCCCATATTCAGCGCGACATTACTATGATAATAATAACATTGCCATGTGGTTTCGGCATAGAATGGACCACCCTTTCTTTCTTATGGGCATCGTAAGTTGAGTCTTTCAACTAAAGAAACTAATAGTAGAGGAAGGAACTTAATAGTAGAGGAATGAGCAGCAGTGTCCCTCTTAAAACATCACTAAAAGCCTAAATGCGGTTGCCAACTCGCCTTCCAAACGTGGCACATATACGTTTAGCAGTAGACAGTTAACGGCTGATATGATTATAATAATAATAAATACTATCCGCACGTGGCGATTTTAAAATATATTTTATGGTAACGCGGTAGGTTTCATTTTCTTGCGGCTGATCTGCCCGGCGCTGGTGGAGCCGCGCGCGTGGGGACTGGTGGCGGCCGCGCCGCCTCCTCACGCGCAGCGCTCGTTGCTCATGGTTGCCAAGTGTCTGCAGAACCTCGCCAACCTCGTCGAGTTCGGCGCCAAGGTAACATTAATGTAACCGTATTATAATGAGCTGCATTACGCTAGCGTCCCATGCAACGTATTATTAGATGATAATCATCCACGACGGAATACAAATGTATCAAATTGCGTACAGCTTTATGTCGTCATCGCATGTACCACCGTGGAACTGACATATTTGGTGTCTGTTAATTCGTTATTGCGCCGATTTATGGTTCGCGTTGTCTTATGTCGTAGGTTGCTATTCATGCGCACGAAGATATGCTGAATGTAGCAATAGTCTTATAAAGTCACTTTTATATTAAGTGGTACAATTTTATACTTAAAAAGTAACTATAATTACTATGCATATGTACAATTAAATAAGGACGCCTTTGTTTTACGTTGACGATAATATCACAGTGACATATTATACATACATATACATCGTCACTGTGACGTGTACAGAATATTAAAAAAATATTAATCTTATAAAAAATTAAAAATTTCAAACCTGTTTTTTTAGTGTATATTGTCATTTTCTTGTATCATACCGGATTTATCACATATGAAAACGACAAAACATGGGTAGCTAAATTAGTTTTAGTGATGTTGGAAGTTTCTGTGAATAAAGGGGCCAAAGAAGACGATAAGTGTCATATTATCATACATTATAATTATGTTTATTCACTACTTACCTGTATTCCGATAAAATTGATAACTATAAGGTCTTCTCGTCTATTATAAACAATTAAACGAACATTAATGCAGTTTGAATTTTCATGTCAAATATTAGGAATATAATGCAATTTTAATTCCAGGAGCCGTATATGGAAGTGGTCAATCCATTTATTCTGAAGAACAAGGAACGCATGGTCGTATTTTTGGACCAGCTGAGCAATGTGCCTGACCCAGGAAATCCTCCGCCTAATACCAATAATAACTTCGATATTGGTAAGCATATTTGTATTATTACTATTTATCTGTCTGTTTTTATTTAAAATAAGCTGTCAAAATATACTCATACTTTTGATATTATAGGACATTTCAGTTTTTGTGAATAAATTTACATTGAATTTTTTTACGCAACTTAGAATGGCAATCAAGTTGACGGCCCTCCTGATGGAAAATGGCAACTGTCGCCTATGGATATGGACATTACAGAGTAATATACTCTGTCTGTGTGTTGCCCATGATACTCCTCATGCGTTGCTATTCCCGAGGACTAAGATATTATGCCTTAGTACTCTGTAATTTTACTTCCATCCTTCAAATCGAAACAGCCATTCAAACAAAACTGCTTCACGGCAGATAAGACCAGGAGATACCCAAGTAAACGACTTTTGTACAAAGTACCAGGGAGTACTATCAATATTTATCATAGTCAGACACTGATCTAGGGAGGCACCAACAGGACAAATGCCCAGAGCAGTAAAATTATTTCATTGTTCATTTATTGTAAGCGTTAAAATTTTATTTTTGTATGGAGCAGCAAAATTAATTAAAATGTACCAATGTAGATTGACTACAGTACACGAATGTTGTGATCATATTTAGAATAGTTATGTAATAGTGTTATATATTTTTTAACAGCTAAAGAACTAGCAACCCTTCATCACATCTGTGTATCGCATCTGACTGAGCTGCAGGCCTTAGCGAAAACTCAACCGGCCATCCGGAAACTGGTTACAGTAACAGAGATGCTCACCAAACACAAGCACAAGTATCTGGAGATGATCAGATAGGATACGCCTACACACAATACAGGTATCTAAACAATCGGTGCCACAAAATAATACCAATTGCTAGGTATCTTTGAAGTACAATAGTTTGTGCTATGAGAAGTAATATATGAAACATTTGGAATTATACAGAACAACGCATCTACTATTATGATACATAATCGTCGAATAAGTTTTGAGATAACACGAAAAATGGGAATTTTATATTTATATACTCCTTACAATGTTTTTTACTTATTACAATTTTGTAGTATTTTTTTTCACTGATACTTCCATGTTAATTTTGGATTTTATCTTCCTTATCCTTTATCTTAAATTATTGATTTCAGGGTAACAGGCCGTAACTGCATTTGCAGCGGTAGTGTAGTCATAACTTCACGAGGTCTCCGGCATAGGAGTAAGATAATTCTTTAGTCGTATATGCGTAGTCATTGTTAGCTGGTTAGCATATGAGCGTTATGTTGCGTTCTGCATTTGGAATAATTTTTGTGCTTCCTCGTGCCAAACTTGTATTTGGGCTTCAATATTCAGCGCAACAATGCTGGATGCTGTATTTGGGATAAAATAATGTTATTCACCCAAAATTGCCTAATTTTTTTGTAATTTCGACTTTTTGTAAATGATTTTGTTGATGAAATTTTTCCAACAATATTTTACATATAGACATATGTTATTATTATTACGCTATCGAAAATATAAAATTTGTTGTATCCGGCGACATTACCCTCGTGAATCAGTATATAAAGTGTCTTATGTGCTATGTTAGGATATAACTTGCTCGTGTACCACATTTCAATTAAATTTATTCAACCTTTAATAATGATTAAATAAATAATAGTCAATCATTACTGAATAATAACAATACATCTTTAAAAATTTCACCATTTGTGATACTAGTAGGATATAGAGTGCAATGAAATCGAAATCATTATTATCTTTTAATTTTTGCATTTTTCTCTAAGAAATGTGGATTTAAGAATGACCAAAAACCTTTCATACTAACACAGCACGTTCTCCTATCAAATTAGTATAGATTTCTCTAAAGTTTTTTGTTGCATTTACATCTCTTATATCCACTTTTTTTTTGTGAAGATGTTCCGTTTTCTTGTACACTCCCTTAAAATGTTATTGATTAAGCTAGAAATAAATAAGATATCCATAAATATACATGATACTAAAAAACATTAACACTACTGATACTGAAAGTGCATTTCTAGCTTAGTTAATTCATTTTCATACAATTCTATATATTTGATAGCGTTAATATGAACATTAATTATAGCATCAATTATAGTTGATGCCATATATGAAATATTATAATTTCATACATAGAATCAATTATAATTTATTATATTTAGTATATAATTTAAGCTTTTTCCGAATTGGTACCTAATTTAAAAAGAAGACAAAGTTCGATAAAGAGACATGTATATAACAGAACCTTTGACGAACAAAATTTAATTAATTAACTAACACAGTTACATATTTTCAAATGTAGGAAAACATTGCCATCAGGCAAAATTACAATCTTATTTTAATGAAAGCATCACAAACGGCTGAATTATTTATTGTAATACATTTCATATTTAGTTGGTTCAGCAATCCATTAATATTTGTTACAATAAAGTATTAATTTAAACATCTATTTTAGATTTTAAAGTAATCCTTTTATATATATGCATCAATTAAAATTTATATTAAAGTATTATTATTCTCAGTTAATATTACACTAGGTCAACACGTACAAGCATTTATGTTTTTAGCATTTAATCAACCAAGTTGGGCATTGTGCACCAATTTGTGTTGAAGCATACTTGCTAAAATGAAAGTGTAAACATTAACATGCTTGTACATGTTCGCCACCTCTTATATTAGTACATGTAATCCTAGATATAGTTTTAGCTTAATGTTTTGACCATCACTCATAAGACACCAAAAATGTACTAGTGAATATATGAATGTGATAGATGAGGGTCATAGAATGGTGTTCTTTATAAAATTGATCTATAAATGTGACAATGCACATACAATTAATGCAGTGCACCATGATTATAATTATTAATTCTCTGTGATAATTATTAATTATTCCTTCTTGAATAATAATTGCATTTTTCTGTGATTTTATTAAAATTTTGATTTTATGTTAACATAATTTTACCATTTTTATGTTCTGTGACGTTATTTATTTATTCTGACACTAAATAGTGTCAATCGAAATCGATAAGGAAGTATTTTTGTTGTAAACTTCTATGATTAATTAAATTTCGAGATCTTCCTTCTTTTCCCCTTGCTCAAATAACATTATAGTCGATGGTTTATATTTCTAGTGCCATATAAATTCGTACTTATTTTATTGTAATCTATTTGCACTATTAGCTTTCATGCATCACAATTTAATATATTTAATGTTGGGCATTATAATAAAGTGTCACAGTTGAGCTCGATTTTTTAACGTGGTTCATGTGAGTAATTTTTTATTTTCAATTTATTTTTACTAATTTCGCATAAAGAACTGAACTAGTATGAACAAAGATTTTTGTATTAATTAGAGTACATATTTAATTTAATTATAAGGATGTATATTGTAGTTGTTTATTAACGACTTTACACACAATTTTGCGGCACTACTAATAATCGCAGCGAGTATGGACACACTCCATTTTACAAAAGTATCACGGTAGTAAATATATCTAGTCTTTGGTATGGGTGTAACCACCAACACTGCTTTGTTATAGTTCTCCATGCTACTGCCACTGAAGGAGGCGAAAATCTTTACAGATTTTTAAACTTTCTGTTTCTTTGAATTTAATTTATAATCCTTTTATTCGCCTTTGAGTATCAAACTTTGAACTAATTCATAGTTATTAGCGGCCTTATCCTGAGTAAAATAAGCTGATACATTCAGATTTTTATTGGATTTTTATCAATAATTATTTTTACCAATGAAGCATAACGTATTAAATTCTCTATGTAAATTATTTATAATTTTTTTTTATACATTACATTATGATAAATTGTTTAGATTGTGTGTAGCATCCATGTTATGCATTATATTTTCATTTAAATATAAATTTTCTTACATAATAATTAAGTTTATAAATTGTGCTAAGATATGTAATCAGTATAATCATAATGCATTTATTTTTCTTTTGGAACCCTTATTACCTATTCATATATGTATATATAATAGTGTGTTAGTTTCTATTTAGTTATAGAACAACCCAATTATAATTATTAATTAGCAATCTATTTTAAAATGTAGACCTTTTATTGTTTTGGTATTAACATGGTAGTCGCTCAAGTAAATGTACTCTATAGGTATATCTGCAATAGTAATTATGATGTAATTAACGCTAATCAATGCATCGAAGTTGATAACGTTCATTTATTTATTTAGAGTTAGCTTGTAGGTCTAGTGAAAGTGTCGTCGCCGTATTTAAGTGTGTTATTTAGCTTATTATAGGGACAATGTCTAGACTGATTTACGCTCCAATTAGAGTTGTTAGTATTTATAATATAATGCACTAGATTTTCCACGAAATTGTAACAAAAAGTGATAATATTGCAATATTCGGCCCATTTGATATACAAATTTTGATACTGAAATTCAAAGATTATATCCATAATATAGAGTACCTAATACTGTTAATATTTTGAAACATTTTACAGAATATCAGTTGCTTTGTTTTTAATACCACAGTAATTATTTGTGATCATTGTACTTGGAATTGCAATTGATGGAATATTATTTATGCAAGTGTAAGTTATATATTCTATTATTATTTTTATAAATGAATAGGTTTTAATTTTCCAATTTTATCAAAAAGATTTAATCCAATGCAATATATATTTCATATACATAATAAACTTTAATGATAAAGCACAGACTTCACAATATTGCACTTGTTAATATCTGCATGTTGCCAGAACTGTTGGCTATCTATGCATTTTTTTATTACATATATATGGGGAGTCAAATATAATAGCAGTTTAACCCCAATTTCCACCCAAATACATGATACAAAACATATATTGTTTAAAACATGTGCTTTGGGGGAAATGGTTAGTGATATCATATATGACAAGCAAAAATTGTTTTATACATGTATCACATGTTCATGATGTATGTTTTGATAGAAACATGGTGTTACATAATAATTATAACAATGTATGAGTTATTAAATACCAAATTATTAGTTCCGATTTAATGATTAACAATTAGCGTTAAAATAGATTTGTGATTGTTTTGTAATCTCTTTATATTCTATTCCTTAGTGTGTACTGTTTTCTATTAAATTTTTATCTGTACTAGGAATCCAGTCTCAAAAATAAAAACATAGAAAATAAAAGTGAACTTTTATTGTTTTTCTTTCCTGTATTAGTTTTATTTATACTTCATAAGTAATAGAAAAATATAAACACATTTGTTTAGCATTAATATATTTTACAATAGGATATTATAATCTGATTATAGTTTATGTAAGGAACAAAATTGAAAATGCCATGATTATACAACATACTGCAATATAAGGAGATTTCCTTTCTCCAATTCTTGCACATTTCCAGAAGGTCCCCAATAACCTGTGAAAATGTTTTAAAAAAATAATTGATTATTAAGCAAAGACAGTAAAATATTTGAGACATTATATGTTGTTTACAAGTTTCAAGGGGAATTGTGATGCTTTTTCATATAGGATATATTTTAGGATATCTTATTTTCATATATATTATACAGGACACAAAATGCACAACATTTTCTTTTAAAACACAGATTAAAAAATGAATGGATATTCAAATTCAATTCTAAATCAACTTGAAATAATTGGCATATCATCACTGAAGTTGTAATTTTTTCATATGTAAGTCAAAATTTGGCATTTTTATGATGATAAAAAAAAACTTTATAGAACCTTTCACCTTATTCATAAAAATTAAAATTTACAATTAACTAACTTAAATTTACAATTAACTATTACACTGTTTTGTCTCTTTCATTTAAACTGAGAATTTAACACAAGATAATAACAAAACAGTTCAATAGCTAAAATAGGTTTATGAGAGGTTTGACATCTTTGTGAACAAGAGAGTTAGTTTCTATTTGTATCATACTATTTTTTTTATATGATAAAAATAAAGGGATATCATTTAAAATTAATGCTTTTCCAAACCATCTATAACATCTAAATTTGTAAAATGAAAAAATATGACATACACAAAACTTCAATTATAATATATTGATTAAAGACTGTTTAGTAAGGAGGAAAGGGATTGTTAGTAATAGAGAGTAAGAATCCCATTGCTACCAATATACCCATCCAGGTTGACCTCACGGTTCCCCCTGGAAACTATCATGGTGAATTCCTCATGAATTCATCATGATGGGCTAACTGACCTGTTTTCATTATCATCTATCACCCTTCACTGGTGTTCCGCCAGCGTATACTGTTAGTTCAGGCGGAGTTACCATTCCATTTTCACCCATCAGAAAAAAAATACTGTTTAGTAAAGAATACTGAAGTTAAAAAATATTGTATATAGAGGTGAAATGAGTTAATAATTAATTATTTAAACACTATTTATTTGTTATAAAACTTGCAAAAATATTGGTAAATACCTAAAATAATATTAAAATATATGCTAATAAAAATAATACTGGTAGTTAAAATAGAACTTACCCAGTTTTATTACGATCCATTAAACTTGGAAAAAATGCTCTCAAATACGCACAAGTACAAATTAAAAGCAGGATTACTGATAGAAGACTTTGGAAATTAAATAGTGCACTCTGAAACATGATGTTGATTATTATTTATATGAAATAATAAACATTTAAAACATACATAAAAAATGGTGGATAAAAAGGAATTAAAACTAACCATTCTGAATTTATCTTGAACAAAAATGTACTATTTTACTTAGGCATGAATGTGACTTTCTTTATTAATTGCTTATATTGACTTTTAGATTTTAAGTAAATGAACCACAAATAATGGCATATTAGATGTTCAGACTAAAACTGTGGAAGCAGATCTGATAATATTAAAATTTCCGGTCGATTTATTAAAATTTTGTTTGAGATACAAAGAAAGCACAATAGATAAATTAAATATATGCGTTCTGAAAAAACAATGGACGATATACAAAGAAAATATAGATATCGTATTGTTTTCAGTTAAATTTATAATATTATTTTATTATCAACAAAATAATTAAAATTTGTAATGACAAAACAATGACAAATGACTGTGTTTTGTTGACTGTCATAATGTCATTCTAGCCAACGTGTCATTTGTCTGTCTGTGCCAGGCCTGTGACAGTTGTAACATCGTTGTTGGAGTGTTTTTGTATGAAATTATTTTCCTTGTTCTTAGATTTTACAAAGATTTATGCTTGTTTTTAGCATTTGGCTTATTTTTTGTATCCCAAAGAAAAACATATTTTAACCGACCTCATACGGTATCGTGTAATCGACATGAGCTCTTTTCTGAGGCGCCATTTGTCTAAATTTATTTCTTATTATATTAATTGTATAGTATTGCGAAATTACTGTTTTATGAAATATAAAATAGAGAATTGGCATTCTCTAAACCTATTTCTAAAATTAAAATTTTAATTTGATGTCCCAACAAAACCTATGTACTAAGATTCAATATAAAGAATATTTCTAATAGGTTTAAGTCAAAATTATTATAAATTTATAATATTCCATGAAACAGTAATTTCGCAATACTACACAATTAATATATTAAGATACCATAGAATCAATTCCAGTAGCTGTCATTAGTTTCCCTAATCTGAGCTGTCATAGTAGGTATTTATATACGTACGTACGTATTTACTTCAGGTGATAGTTATTTAATTGAACAAATTGGAAATAATATTAAAATAAAAAATCTTTACTTTCTTTTTTTTTTGTAACATAAAATCTTTTAATTAGTTTCCTTGACAGTGACGAAATAATGGATGAAGATAAATTTGCTTTAGTTGAAAAAATTATTACAGATATCGAAAATGTTATGGTGAAAAATGCTGAGTTGTAATTATTTATTTATATTTGGCATAATTTCAATTATTTTGTTTTGCAAGCCTTAGCACAAATTTAATGTAGTGGTTGTTTTCAGATGCGCATTTGATATCGTTCCTGTGGAAACAAATTTTCAAAATAAATCTCCTGTTTTACATTTGGAGAATTGTCTTGGTTTAGAGTCATGGTGTGTGAAACATGTGTATATGTACTGTTATTCGGAAATTATGGATAAATACTTTGCTAAACCAAAACGCAAAGCCCCAAAAGTGTCGGCAGTGAATGCAGATAGGCTATTAAGTTTAATAAATGTAACATTACTTCTCAATCCTGAATTGAATTCTCTTTGGAACAAAAGACGGGAACTAGTATTGAAGTCTTTTTTGGAAAAGTCCTCTGAATTGCAATTTACTAGATTGGTATTATCTAGAAAGCCAAAGTGTAATGATGCATTTTCCTACAGAAGATGGTTTTTAGAGTTAATATTAACAGGTAAAGTTATAGATATTTTTTGACAAGCTGCTTCCATGATTTTATCTTCATGGTAGTAAGGTTATGCTAGACAGATATTACTATTTTGATTATTATTATATATTGGACAAAATCTGTCTATTAACAAATAATTTGTAATATATTTATTAACTTCTTATATATGTAACTCATAGATTATTGAATTTTATTTAAATGCATGCTTAATATTTGTTTTTACAACCTATAATATAGGCTGTTAAACTGTTATAGATTATTTTATTAATTATATAAAAATGTCTGTCTCTAAAAATTCTGAGTATATGGATCTTATATTAGCAAAAAGGGATTTTTATGTATCTCACTATCCAGTTCACTATCACTCATGTTCTTTATTAGACCATAAAATCATGATTAAAAGAAACATAAATTTTAAAGTTTATAATTTTATTGGCTTTTATTTGTGACATTCTCTGCATGATTGGGATAAAAAGTAACCTATATTCTTCTCCATCCTATACATGTATACCAAATTTTATAATGATTGGTTAGGTTGTTAAGGTACTACAAGGTAACAAACAAACTCTCTTTCACATTTATAATATTAGTAAGGATTATAGTACTAGCGATACTAGTCCAGCTTCACTCGGGTAGATAGAATTTTCAAAAATAATATATAGTGTATGTTAAATGCTGATAATGTAAATTTCTATAGGTGAAAGAATTTTAATAATTGGTGGAGTAGTTTTTGAATTTATCCATTATAAACAAACGATCAAATATTTCCTCTTTGTAATATTAGTATAGATAAATATAGATATTAATTTGTAATTATTTACTACTGAATCTTTCAGATGAAAATGTACACAATGATTACATACAGAACCTTGTGGATGAAGAGTTACGTGTATGCGAGTTAACATCTGACAACAGCCCCAATAATTACCACAGTTGGAATCATCGCATTTGGTTTTTGAACAAACTCAAAGCTGTAAAACAATTTGATATCAATTTTAAATACATTGAAGAATACCAGTTCTCTGAGAGATGGATATCAAAACATGTATCCGATTATACTTGCTTTCATTACAGACAGTTTTGTATAAAGAACATTTTCTATATTGATAATGGCAGTTGGCACAAACTCATTGACACTATTGATATTAATTTTAGAAAGAGTTTAATTAAAATTGTAGTTTCAAATATGCCCAAAGATGTTACTGTACACACTTCACAGGAAGATTTATTATTGTATTCAGAAGACAATTTAGTTACAATGTTGTTATCTTATAGTATTAAGAATTGTAATTGTATTGAAGACAATGTTATAATATGCAGGAAATTAGAAATTCTGTTTCATGAGCTTATTCTCAATAACGAGTTATTGATATATTATAAATATCATGAAACTCTGTGGTACCATAGACGTTTTATAATTCATGAAATAATTGCCATTATGTATGAATACTTTGGTGTAGTTCGACAAAATGGAGCACTAGTCAAGAATACATGTAAGAAATGTAATAGTGATGATTTAAGACAGAAACAGGCAAAAATTGTGAGATATGATAGTAATCGCATTTATTTTAGTGTCCTATTTAATGTGTTGGCATCTCATGAAAAGAAATTCATTGAGGAGAGGAGAAATGATGGTGATAATTATGCAGACAGACATTTGAAGTATTTGAAATTTGTGGAGGGGCTTAATAATGTCATGTAATATGGTTTTGTTATTTTTGATCTTCAGCTTATTTAAAATTATTCAGTCATGGTTATATAATATAAGTAAATGATGTATTGCTATTTATGTGTATATAAATTTTGGATAAATTGGATATATATATATATAGCTATAATATAAGAATTTTTTCAATGTTTCAATGAAAGTGAAGCCTGTATATGTAGTTTTATAATTTATAGATAGGTTTTTAATAAGTTTTGAAAATGGGTTAGAAAGTTATAAGTCAATTCCTTATAATTATTATTATTGATATAAGGAGATACATCTTTTAAAAAAAGAAAACTGAATGTCTGTGATCTCTAAATGAAGTTTTTTATAATATATTACTTTAAAATAATATGATAGGTGTTCATACCCTCTGTATTCAATCGAAATATTATAACCAATGTTTTCTTCGAATATTATTTGTATATTGCTAGAATAAAGATGTCAGTTTGACAAATATAATATGGGCTAGATTTCTATTGAAAGGCCAAAGTTATTTGTGGAGTAAGTATTCTTTAGAAATTTACTTAAGGCTCTCTTCTGATGAGAATGGTAAAGACAATGTCTGACACAATTATATATTCCATTACATAATAATATCATATTAAAATGCTCCAAGTACTTATCATACAACCTATAGGGAGAAGCATTGATTAGGAATGATATTTTGTACCTTCTATACTAACATAGCATGTCGAGCTATGGAGTTAGTATGAAAGGCTCAAAACATTTATTCATGTTTCTTTACGAAAAATGTTCCAATTAGGGTTAGGTTTCAGGTTCAGTTTTGGTAGAATAATTTAAATTGCAATTTCCATTTTGACATGTAAGTGTTATATTTACTGCAATGACAACAATCGACAAAAACTACTGACTGTACGATAAGAGATTATAATAATGAGCATATATTTTTTAGTATGATTTAGATATTAAAATAATGACAGAAGTGGAGTGTGTGTGAAGCTTATCTAATTTGGCGGACTGTGGATAAGCCTGGGTTTTTGCATTTGGTCCTCTCTGACTACCTCGTAAGAGATTTTGTTTACCTGTATATAAAACATACTGTATATACATACAATACTTACGGGTTTTCAATGATAGATACGTGCCGTGTGATATATGAATGTAGATCGCTATTGCCATTTTTATTGGAAGATCATCCAAATCTATTGTCAGTATCAGTACGTTCAGTACCAAATTTTACTATATTAACAAAATTTTACTGCCATGGTGTGTAAGTAGTATACCTATTTAATTTTTATGTAATAGTCATTATTGTTATAATTTGAATAAAAGACATGTTTTGTATTTCGAATAAATACTTATTATAAATTTATTTAAATTTATTATGTTGTTTCTATTTATCTGTTCAGTAAGTATCAAACTATGAAATAAACGAACCTAATTATTGATAAAGTTACAAAACCGAAAATAATTATTGTAAACAAGTAATAAAATTTGTAACCCCTATTTATGTTATCGTTGTAGACAATACGAGTGTTATTGTCATATTTATAAAGCACACAGATATTCCAACAGTAAATATATTTATCATCATTATTATAACTGCATCATCTTCATCGTTAACTGTTCACAGCTGAACATAGCCCTTTCCCGTAAGGGGGTTTTTGTCAGTAGTTGCCATGCTTGGTATGCAGGTTGGTAACTGCAGTTAAGCTTAACTGATGTTTTAGGAGGACACTGCTAACCATCCCACGAATATTAAGTTCTCTTAGTCGCCTCTTACGATACCCGCGCAAAAGAATGGTGGTACGTCTATGGCATTAATGAATCTATCAAGTCATATAATTTACATTAAAAAAAACATTACTCTCTTTTATTCCGCTGTCAAATATAATAATCTTAAATGAATATAATTGCCTTTCGTTGATTTTTTTTACTAATGTATTATAGGTACAAGGTTTTTAACGTATTGGAGTGTGAAGGATACAGTGACTAGCCTGCTACATCTGAGCTCATCTGAGTACAAGCAGTACATAGTTTTCTTAGTAAAAAAGTTTTGGGTGCATTACGAATGTATATGTTACTGTAAAAGCTTGCCTATAGTAAATCTTGGGTTATGGAATCTATAAGAAACGGTAAATATAAGAATTTTATAAAAAGAAAAATTGTTGATAAAAGCTTTAAATGTGATCTTTGTTCGTACATATAATACATATTAACGAATATGTACCAACATGCATGTAAACGTTGGTATTTGTAGTTCGGACAAAAATATCGAAGCTCTATAAACTTAAGAGTTTTTACTATTCTGATATATATATTTACCAGAGGGAGACTTTGTACAAAAGTCGTTTGCTTGGGCACCTCTGTCCTATTCGTGTTTCTACCGTGAAGCAGTTGTATTTGCATGGCTGTGTTTCGGTTTGAAGGGTGGGATATGGCGTGAATTTATAGGGTACAGAGGAATTACACCTAAGTCCTCAGGAATGGCAATGCATGGAAGGTATCATGGGTGAAACAGTATACTCTGTTAAATCCATGGTATTTCTCATATCTATAGGCGACGGTTATCACTTTCCATCAGGTCGGCCATCAGCTTGTTTGCCATTCAAAGTTGCATAAAAAAAAGAAACACTGAAAAAAAAATGTCCTTCAATTAATTGTAAACCAGTGTGGTATAGGAGCCGTGTTTTATAATTTATCGTAGCATAGCACGACATTGTACGATTTAACTATCGTGGTATAAAAGGATAGCACAATGTATACAACTGTATGAATACATTTTTATTTTCCGCGACAATATCGTGGACGTCCATGGCATCACGATATTGCGGACGTGCATAGAAATTTAAAGGCGTCTCAATAAAATTGTGCATATTTCGCTCACAAAAAAAAGGAATTGAGAACCTCCTTTTGGTCGCTTAAAAATAATGTGATCCTTAGCTAAATATGCATGTACATCTTGTGAATGGTCATATTCAAGATACAGTACGAGACAGGAGCAGGACACTTCTCGCTTTTCTCTCGTAGGTACTATATACTCGTATATCTCAAATATGATCTAATGAATAATTCTATTAGGTTTAGTAGTAAAGGGTATATCAACCCCAAACTCAAAGAGAGCATTAATGAAATGATCTATCTGCCCCAAAAAGAATAGTCAAAATCGGAAAAAAATGTTTCAACCTATCATATTAAATCGATCAAGTGACAACGTGGCTTTTGTGCGATTTCCAAAAATCATTTTGAAATTTCGAATTTGTCCCTTGGGGAAAGTTGTTTTGTATTTTAGATAATATAACTGGGTTCCGATATGGTATATCCTTTAAGACTAACCCTGTATTACTCTAGTATAAATCTATCTATAGGTACTATCGATTCATTATCAAGACGAGCTGGGAAAACGATAACAGTCGATCAACTCGAAAAGTTTACCGCCGGCTGTAAAAACCAAATTTTACCAGAGCGAAGTTGGAATGGTTTGCAATAACTTAACGTTTTATCTGATACTTGTAAAGTATCGTATTAGATGATGTAATCGCCCAGTCGAAATCACTGATGCTATTTATAACTTGTTTGATGAATAGGTGCCGTTTGTTTAATGTTCAAGAGACTCTTATCAAGTTTATAAAATAAGGTTCTCCATATATCCATTACATCCCATCTATTGTCCACTAGTCAACAATTTCTCACAACATAGGTACATCCCGTCCATTATCTATCGACTTGCTCCACCACTTGACGTTGTCAGTTTTGGTCGCATCGTGCCTTCTGCAAGAGGTTCGAACTTGATTTGAAGGAACTCGAGAACATTTTTGTTGAATTATGTTGCTGACTTGGCGGCCCACAGCCATTACAGCTTGCAGATTCTTCGGACTATATCGGTCACTTGTTCTGAGGATCGTTTCGGATTCTTTCTCGCAGTGAAAAAGTAAGCACAGCTATCTTTATACCTAGATGGCACTGGTATTATCAATAATTTCGAGCGTAATGAATGTTAACACAGTCTGTTAACACAGTTTTATTTTGAACATAAGTATTTCATTGTTTCTTTTTTTAATTTGTGCGTGCTTTTAAGCCGTTAGATTTAAATTTAAAAGGAGAATTAATACGGATTATGAGTAAGTTTTATAGAAGAGAGAATTTTATGATAATAAATATAATTCTTATAATCTATAGCTAGAACGGAATTTATAATATTTTAATGAATTTAGGTTTAAAAACTTAGGATATTTTAGGACGTAAACTAGCTGTAATAAGTTTTGTCTGTATGTATTAAAAATCTCCTTTCTTTGCAGTAAGTATTGTAAGAGGTCACTAAAGGATCTTAACAGTAGAGAGATGAGCAACAGCGTCACTCTTAAAACATTACCAAAGTCTGATTGCGGTTACCAATCCACCTGACAAGCTTGGCAACTATTGACAAAACCCCCAAATATGGGGAGGCCTATGTTGAAAAATAATGTATAAAGAAATTAAATGTTGCTAATAATCGTGTAAATGCATTTTTGAGAAACTTTGTTGATATTCTGCTATAGAAATTAAATTGATAAATTACTTTCTAAAATGCATGCTTTTTATCTGACTGAGAAATACTGTAGCTGTAATTTTGTTAATATTGTACAGATGTTTAAATGTTTGTTACTCAATCACATTTTAATAGTTTAATAGACCTGAAAAAAATTTAATACTTAGGCAAATGATATCCTATATTAGCATATAGAACATACTCTTTATTCTAATTTACGTACATAAAGTCACTAATTTGTTATTATATTATACAACAATTAAAATTTCGAAGTTGAATGCAAATTAATACTGCCTAGTTAGGCAGTATTAGAAGAAAATAGCTATTTCAGAGGAATGTTTTGTCAAATAATTGAATATACCTTCTCTCTCATACCCTACTTATGAATTTGCAGGATCAGACACGTTTTGAGTATGTATTTTATTTAAATTAGCATACGATGTCTTAGTGTGACTACGCATGGATTATTATGTGTTTGAAACTCGTAGCAGCTGAATACATAACAAGTGCATACGCATTACGCATCGGGCCGGTCTGACTTTACTCAATGTGGGTCAGGAGGCTTGTACGGGGGTACTCCCTTGTTTAAATCTTACATAATAATGAAAGCGTTACAACCGTCTGCCTGTATATGAACAAATATCAATTTCAAGTTTTGGTATTAAGGTTTAATATGTATCGTGCGGCCGTATACTGAATGGCATTGTGGAATTCAGTAGAGTTCGTGACGTCACAGTGTCGCGCGTTCGCGGGCTCCTCTTCGATCGATATTCGGGTGTGGAGTCGGTCGCTCTCGGGAAAAGTCGGGGCTGCCGAACAACGGCGGCGCGGCGCCGTCACCATGTGCGTATTACGTAACATCGATGGGTACAACTCATTGACAAAGATTACTTGTGTAACGAAGCCTTGCTGTGCTATAGCGAACTATCGATATAACTAGTATATAAGTATAAGAACGCACACTATTTCGCTTTTAAAATAATATAAACCAAAAAAGAGGTGGCAAGGTAAATTATTTTTGCGAGTTTTTCATTACACTTTTCAGCAGTAATCGATTTTGTCTCTGATTCACTGTTCTTTATTAGTTCAAGACTTGATTTGAATATCTGTTAAGATTCGATTTCTGGAACTTCTTATTAACATCGAGTTTACTAAAGAGATTATTCAGTCGTTTCTGTTTATTTATGTAAAATTACTTTCGTATTTATAAGTTTTATACAATATTTATTTTTCATTATAATATTTTTTTTAATATTCTAAACAATAAAATTATCTATCTATACAAGTCCAGGAAATTCGTCTAAGTAAAATATATGAGAATGCCACATACATTGTATTCATCCTTGGGGATTCAAGCTGCCCTTAGTTGAACTTACTGCTACTGTAGCTTGTTCATTAAAATATTAGAAGAGCCAGATAGATAGATAGACATTTTTACTTTTGAATTTATATATCGCATAGTTATAATATTGGCAGCTGTGTGGTCCCGGCATAGAATGGGCCACCCCTTCCTATTCCGTGAGTGTCGTAAGACGCGGCTAAGAAAAATTAAAAGTAGAGGACAGCAGCCTAATCGTGGTTGCCAATCCGTTTGCTAAGCATGGCAACTATAGGCTAAACACCCATTACGGAGGTGGCCTTCAATAGCTGACAGTCAATGGTATATATGACTAATTTTATTAATATTATAAATGCGAAAGTTCGTAAGGATGGATGGAAGGATCCATAGACAGATCCGTCAATCCGAATATTAGTTATTCTTTAATGTAAAAATTATTGAACTTATTTAAATGAAGTTTATGTATCTACACTTTATTTGGCCGAAGCCGCGGGATACAGCTAGTAGATTTATAT